GCTGGATTACGATTTCACGCGGATCGCGTTGCGAACGGGAAGTTAGGCGGCGATTAGGGGCTGGCTCGGGTCGCGCTTCGAGTACGTACACTCCGCCGGATTCGGCTGTTCACTGGCCCGCGGTTTTACGGTTTTATCAGCACGCGTTCCGGGTTAGTTTGCGGCCGCGGGACAATTTTTGCAGTGGGGGTGGGGAGAGGAGAGGCTGGGCCCGCCGGAGCGTCGGCCGCACGTGTACTAGCAGCCGCAGTTATTCCTGCCATTATCCTGTTGCCTCTATTAGTTTCGGAACTGTGCCGGCGCCGGAGCTAAATCAACCGAAAGTACGGAGTTCCCTGGGAAAGATAAACAGCGGCAACAAACCGGTTAATAAATTGTGCCGGATTTATTTTCAAACCGGGATCCCGTTTCCGGTTATATTTAACCCCCGGCAAGTTCGTGTGTTTTCTTGGCGATGCGGAGCCGGACGGGTCGCGGCCACGGTTCCCGCGAACTTTCCGCGGGAATCAAAGCAGTGCCGCCCTTTGTTCCGCAGTTGAACAGTCGGCCGATTAACAAACGATTCCGCGTCTCATTAACCAATAAACAATCGCCCGGGAACGGAGCACGGCCCGGCTCCTCGCCCCGCCCGTTGCCGCGGTCGCTCCACCCTCCGCCCCCCTCCCCCAGGGGGGATCGCGGAGACGTCGATCGAGCCTCCCGGCCCGACGAGCAACCACAACAACAACAGAACGCTCGATCGGGTCGAGAAGAACGTCATTGAAGACGGGAGCCGGTGAAAAGTCTTCGACGGTTTTTGTTCGGGGCGCGATCGATAGCCGCGGGACAAGGGACAATGGAAGATCGCGGGATCGATCGATCGGCGGCACAATCGTGGCCCCGGTTAAACGGTTAATTAGGAGGAATTCGGGTTTACCAAATCGAGATATCGGGCCCGCGTCTTCTCGTCCCGGCTCCGGGAGTATATATCGAGCACGGCCGGCGTCGTCGACCTAATTAACAAGCGTTGTCGGGGCTCCTCGGGCGCCGATTCTCCGCGCGGAAAGTTTAAGTACACCCGGCATCGACGATAATAGCGAGCCTCCCCGCTCGGCGTTTGCCTCTGTGTGTACGTGCTTATTCATCGTCGCGCGGCTGCCAGCGACCAACACACCGGGACAACCGACGACGACGCCTCGTCCCGACGCCGAGACGCGTGCACTGACTCACAGAACAAATCACGGGGCAGGGAGCGCGCGCGAGAGAGAGAGGCCCCCCGCGGTGTTCAATATGCATGAGTTATCATTCGTAACGCAACGGGAATGAATCATATATTCGCGATGTTCTCGGGAACGCTCGTTAGCCCGCGACCCGCCCCGCCCCGCGGCCGCCGAGCCCCGGGCGCGCCCCGAACGCACCCACACACGCGCCAGCCGACTTACCGACACCGCGATCGACTTCTTCGGGGCACCGAGGGTCGCTCTTTCGCTCGAGCCTCGTTCCGCCGCCGCGAGACAACCACTTTGCACCCCCGAACAGACTGTTCTCTGCCGGTGCTGTGCTCACGGGTTCAGTCGCGAGGCGATTTTCAAGCGGAAAATGCGGGCTGCTCGGAGAAATCTTTGGATTTTTGCAGAGGGTGCGTGGCCTGGGTTCAGGGACGGAGCAGAAAATTTTTCGACGAGTTGAGAAAGATTGTTTTCTCCTGGGTTTTCGATGATTCCCGAGGCTTAAGCGTGGTCCAAGGTTTAAAGCGGCGCATGGACAGCATCCACGGGGTGGACCACGCGTTTCGGAATCGATATTTTTCTCGACTCAACCCTTTTCCGTCTGTACACAGCCGCGACACGTTATCGAGCCCCCTTATCTCCCTTTCATTCTCTCTCGTTCCGTCGTGTCTTGACACTTATCGCCGTTTTTCCCCACCCCGGCCCTCTCGTCTTCGCATTTTCCCTTTTCACGGGGCCCTCGGCCGGCGCCATTTACATCGGCCATTCAAGCAGGGCCGCGTGCCCCTCTTTCTTATCGTTCACTCCCGGTTTTCTGTGTTCCCTTTAATAACCGGGTGGCTGCGCTATCTTCCTCGGACAACACGAGATTCCTTTTCTTCGACCGCCTTCCTTCGCTCCTCTCGGCCCCGCCCCCCAACGGCAGGCGCTTTCTCGGCCGACAAGCAGCCCCTTCGTCGAACCAAAGAACTCACCCCCGTAACAAGCGATTCCCAGGCCGATGGAAAAATATTTGCACGGTCCCCGGGGAACGTCCCTAGGGAACATCGAGGTGGAGGGGCGTGGCTGTAGAAAAATACATTTTTCTTTCCGTCGAGTGATTACTCGATAAGAGATTATGATTTTTCAATCAGGCAACGACGCTGCTTTCAGCTTTTGATCGCAATTTGTTCCTTCAAATCGGAATGCCACGTAATAACGGTGTTATTATTTTCGAAACTTCGCTTCGAATTTTAGAATGGTCGAAATACCGATTTTTGTATTTTGATTTTCGCTACACGCACAAAATTTTGGTTGGAAGAACAATTTACAGGGATCGAAAGCAGAGTATTCGCCGTTCAAAATGAGCTTAGGTGCATCGTCGTACGATTTTTTTTCTAGGAGTTATGTCGCTTTAAACACGAGCAAGTTTTCGCCTGATGTTAAAGACACGCGTCGATAATGGTCGATTTCACGCGTTCGATTTAAAGCGTTGCGAACGGGCGCGAAAAAATCGGAGGTCAATGCTTTTGGTCTCATTGAAAAGAGAAGACTTTGTTCTATAAGATGGTTATAGTTTCCTACGAAAACAAAATTTTTTGCTTTTCGCACAGAATACTAAATTCGTACAATGATAAAAAATACCGATTTTTGTATTCCGCTTTTTGCCAAGCGTGCAGAATTTTTACGACAGAAACAAGTTAGAGAAATCGAAAGCGGAGGATTCGCCCTTTCGAACGAGCTGAGATGAATCGTTCTATGATTTTTTTTCGAAAAGTTACACTACTTTAAACATGGTCAAGTTTTCATCCAACATTCAGTGTCGCTACCAAGAGTGCTAATTTCACATTTCCGAATCAAAGTGCTATAAAATGGTAAAGAAAAATTACAGACCGATATTTTCGGGCTCATTGAAAAGAGGAGACTTCGTGCCATAAAACCACGTTAGTTTTACTTGACAAACAAAATTTTTATATTTTAACTCAGAAGTCTGCAAAATCGTAAAAATATCCAAAATGAAGCTATTTCTCAAAAATGCCGCTATTATTTCGAAGCTTCTCTTTCTGGAGCATCGATTGACGCTCGCCATTGTAGCAAAGTACGAGATCACCTGAAGCGAAAAATCCCGACTGACATGCCAGCAGAATCGTATCGTTTAAAATGTAGTCTAACCATTTACGACACTTTCAATTGTCATAAAAATACAGCGGAGTGTTTAGAAAGCCTACCGCGAGCGTTCTTAAACAATTTTTTGGAAGCACGAGGGCGAGAGAACGGGATGGAAACGCAAAAGAAAAATCCCCTTCGTCGCACGGATGCACTGGAGGAAGGGTTGTTGCATCGGTCGATGCGGCAGAAGCGGCCGTGCGCCGATAAAAGCGACGCCGGGCGTCCACCCCCATCCAGCCACCCCCTACCCCCGACCGTTCGCGGAATAATTGGATCGGTTTTTGCAGCTGTGAATCACGAGCCACGACAATCGGAGGAACAAGGCTTTTTCTTCTCCCCAGAGGGTTTTCCGGGCCACATATCGCGGCACGGCTGCTCCCGGTGCTTCGTTTCGCTCCCTTATCTTCGAGGAGTGCCATTTTTTTTCTTTGTTCCGCCCCACGGCCCTCCTCGGCCCCCTTTTGAACGCGAAAGGGACGGTCACCTATTCTCGCGCCTCCAGGCTTCCCTCGATGAATCCTTAAAACGATAATATCGAATTCGAACAGCATTAATAAATCCTAGCACCCCTAGAAAATGGCAGCCAACAGTCTCGCGTGCAAAGATCAATTAACCTCGGTGACATTGCTCTAAATTAATTATACATATCATGACCGCGGTTTTTTCCAGCCGCGCGATACAGGCGTGCTTTTAATTGCGGCGGCGAGAAGCGATCTTGTCATTAATCTCGCGCAATGATTGCACGTGGAAAATAGTAAGAATGCAGCGCGGCAAGGTTAAAAGCCAGACAATTCAACGGAATTGTCTCCGAGATGAGCAAACACGCGTGAGAACGGCTTCCGAACGGTATCCGAGCGATTCATCGGCGGGACACGATTATCGCTGTCACGGTTCGATTGTTCGTCGGCCGTGAGAGAAAGAGAGAGAAAAGGAGTGAATTTTCTCCGAAGTTCTGAGCTGTCTTAACGCGCGCGGAACTGAACTGCATTTCCGGTGGCTCCGCTCGCCGGGAAAAGTATTCTTCGATAACTCTTCCGGCGAGACAGATCCATCCATCATCCCCCTTTCTCGCGATAAGACGAAAGTCTCGTCGATCGTCCCCGCTCGACGTCGATAGTCCCTCGGAAAAGAGTAACAGAAAAGTCCCGTAATAGCTCGCGACCCACCTGGGAATCGATCCTTCCGAAATCTTCCGTCGAAGATGGAGAACGTTAGCGGAAACTTCGGAGTTTCTCGATCTCGAGACGCATAGGGTCACTTTACAATTTTTTTTTCGAGAAACGAGACACTGCGCATCGAAATACAAGTATGCACCGTTAAAGTGCGTACATTGAACTGTTAGAAAACATTTTTCCCCCGCATTTGTACCGACAACGGTGCAATATAGCGTCGAAGTCAATAAGCGATGCCAAAGAGCTTCCTGGTGCTGTGGCATATACAGCCGCGTCGCATCTTTCTTTTTCCGAAAAATGGGACACCATGAATAAAAGATCAAGTGTCCGTAGTTAAAGTGCATACATCGGACTGTCGAACGACAGTTTTTTCGTTTCCGAATTCGCGGCGAGGACGATGGAACGCGAGATTAAAATTGATGGTACGAGGCAGATGATTGACTTGGGGATTTCGTTTGTTTTGGGGACGAAGACATGGACGCGCTGAGGATGCTGGACCTGGTCGTTCCTCAGCACGTGGTCCGTGGCCAAACTATCCGGCTTGAGTGCAACTTCAACCTGGACGGTGAAGTCCTGTACTCGGTGAAGTGGTACAAAGATGGGAACGAGTTCTACCGATTCGTGCCGCAGGACAAGCCGCCGGTACTCGTCTTTCAGCTGCCTGGTGTCACGGCGAACGTAAGAATTACTTCCTATTGATTTTTCTCTTGCCCCCGTGGCCAATGCACTGCAGTACCTGCCTCCACTTTCTATTTAAAGCTTCTCTCCTTTTATACGCTGACAATCAAAATTAAAGGATCATCGTTGAATCTCGGTTGCACAAATTATTCGGACTAAAAGCGTCGTAACTTTCTGAAAAGTAATCCAACAACGATCTACCTGGGCTCATTTTAACGAGAAAAATATCCGCTTTTAGCAGCAGCGCGATATTGTCTCCTTAAAGGGATTGCTTTTGCGTTGGATACTTTTTTGTTCGGAGATTTAGCGTCGGCGACAGTGTCCTTATTCGATGTCCGATAAAGTAACCGGAAAAAATCGTAGATCAAAACAACTGGAAGAAGTTAAAAGGGGGAACATCGTTCTTTAAAATGTGCTAAGGTGCATTGTAATACGATCTTTTTGCGAGAAGTTATGGCACTTTGAACACAGTGAACTTTTCGCTTAACATTTAGCGGCTCTGTGGATTACGTTGAAAAATGCCTACGCCACGCTTCCGATTCAAAGCGACGACAAACGGCGAAAAAAAATTGTAGCTCAACGCTTTTGGTCTCGTTAGAAAGAGGAGACTCCGGACTACAAAAGACCAATAACTTTTTGTCGATATAAAATTTTTTGCAGTTCGCACAAAAGTCTGAATTTGTAGAATTACATCAAATGCGAACTTTTGCTTTCCAGTTTTTGCCAAGTGCGCACAATTTTTTTGCCAAAAACAAGTTAAGCTGTTCGGAAGCTCAGTATTCACCCTTTAAAATGAGCTAAAGATCATTGCTCTACGATTATTTTCCGAGAAGTCACGGCACTATGAACATGGTGAAGTTTTCGTGCAGCGTTTAGCGACCCCACTAAAAATGCCAATTTCACAGTTCCGATTCAAAGTGCCATAAAATGGTAATAAAAAATTGTAGATCGATGTTTTTGTGCTCGTTGGACAGAGATGGCTTCGTGCTACAAAACCATGTTGATTTCACTCGGGAGCAAAATTTTTCGATTGCGCCACAGATCCGCAAATTCGGAAAATTTTCGAGGAAGTAGAATTGCTGGTCATCGCGCTGCTACCGAAAATGAAAAAAATTCTGCAGCAAAATGGCTGGTACATGCTTAAAGGGGAACATTTGCCCTTTGAAACGAGCTACAGGCCATTGTCGTACAATTATTTCTGACGAAGTTACAGAAGCTCGAACATCGACAACTATTCAACGAAGGTTCCACGATTCAAGACCTCGTAGAAAAATTTATTGTTAAAATTGTTGCCGATCTCGATGATGGGGATTTCGAGGGAACGGTCAGCCTTTGTTTTTTCTGCTCACCCCGCGCCTTGAACTTTATCGATTCCGGCGAAGGTCCGCCACAAATAGATAAGAGGTTCTTCGCGTTTTGTTAAATATCGATTAAAATAATAAAAGATTTACGACGGAGGAGCGGTTTTGTTGAACGGGTTCGCTGGTCTGGGTCCCTCGTCAAAGAGATGTACAACTTCCATTTAACGGTCACGTTTTCCACCCTAACCACGCCGCAAGTCTCCCACCCCTCCCCCCTCCCGGTCCCCCGGAGCAGCCACCAATCGACGATGTTCCACGAATCCTCGGGCTCGAACGATTCGGAGAACACCGTCCGGGTTAATTGCTCGGTTAATTGGCCAGGACACGCCTGTTCTTCTTCTTCTTTCAGATTCACAATTCCACCGACAGCTCGGTCGTTCTCTATTCCGTGAACCTAATGAGCACCGGGAGATACAGATGCGAGGTGTCCGCCGAAGCGCCATCTTTCCAAACGGTCTCCGATCACTCGGACATGCTGGTTGTCGGTAAGATCATCGTTATTCCAACATGCCAACTTTTATATAACCAGTTAGTTATTGCAATCTCTTAGAAAAGTATTTAAATTACTGTAATTATACTGTACGTGTTTGATTTTCTTTATACTTCATTTAAACTAAACGCTTTTATTATAATTTAATAAGGAATGCATACAGGGTGTCCCAAAATTATGGTGCTTCTGGGAAATGAGAGGTTCCTGAGGTTATTTGAAGTAACTTTTTCCTTGGCGAAAATGCAATCCACGGCTTTGTTTACGAGTTATTAATCAAAAACACTGGCCAATGAGAGGCCAACTCGACTGGCGCAAGGCGGCCAAGCCAACTGATCTCGCCTCTCATTGGTCACTGTTTTTCGTTAATAACTCGTAAACAAAACGGCGGATTACATTTTCGCTAAGGCAAAAGTTGCTCCAAATGACCTCAGGAACCCCTCATTTCCTAGAAGTACCATAACTTTGGGACTCCCTGTACATCCTTATTAGCCAGTTAGTTTTTTTCTCGAGTTTGCTCGCAACGAAGAAATCGCAACATTTTGTATTGCGACGAGTATACTCGCCAGAAAACATTTAACTGGATCAGATAATCAGCAACAATGGTAACAGATCTAGAGCATTGCCTCTGCCCTCCCTCTTTTTAGAGTCCCATCAGTATGATGGAAACGCTGATAGAGATCCCGCGAGTGAAATAATGTCGAAATCTGATAAGGAATCCTGCGTCGCGAAGTATGACGAAGTATAGATACATTTTGAATAGAAAGGCCGGGGGTTAGTACAGGCTCCGGGGCATTTGAAAGGTGCTAACGAGCCTCTGGAAACTTTCAGCCCTGCCGGAAGACGGGCCCGTTATCACCGGAAGACCGGGCAGGCATCGTTATCAGGTCGGCGACGTGGTGCGGTTCAATTGCACTTCGGCGAAGTCCAAACCGGCCGCCATGCTCAGCTGGTTCATCAACGGGGAACCTGTAAGTCACTTACGGGGAATCCCCCATGACTGCGGCCCGTTAGAATGCGTGAGAACGACGCCCACAATGACGTCACCGTAGCGAACAACCTTATCAACTTGGTTAGATCTGCATAAGCATCACCTTGAACCCCGACCTTAACAAAATTCCTTTGCTACTTGAAGCTACTTTGCTACTAAGAATCTTGTTAATTCGACAGCGGGAAGTGTCCTTTGATCCCGATGGAGTATTATTTCGCAGACATTGTTCGACGAAGATTAGATCTTCGAGAGTGCATTGAAAAGTTCCAATTAAAGTGCTAGGCTATTGACTGGTGTTGCAACCCTCCCCGGTACGAAAACTGCCAGACGAGGATTAGAGAGATGTACCAGGCCGGTTTTTTGGTTGCGTCAGGTCGACCCGCAGTACTTGAAGGGGCCCCACATCACGGAGGTGGATCGCGATGGTCTGGAGACGGCGGTGCTCGGCCTGGAGTTCCGTCTGCGTACGAAGCACTTCAAAAGGGGAGACCTGAAGATCAAATGTCTGGCGACGATAGCGACCGTGTATTGGAAATCGAACGAGCTCAGCATAGAGGGTGAAAGGCCCCTCAAGATGCCGGTAATGGAGAGCAGGGAGACAAGAGCGCAAGGGCACACGCACGCCGAACATATCTTGGGAGGTGGGTGGCCAATTTTCTTCGGGGCACGCCAGCAAATTTCGGCGCGTTGTTCCCCTAATTTCGTTCACTTTTCGAAAATGTCTAACCTTCCCGCTTCTGCTGACGGAAGGAAAAGCACTTTGGTCTAAAGTCTCAGGTGTATTTCGGGGATGAACCGTCGTCGAACTTTCGGGCCATCCTGTATAAGGGCTCAATGGAACCTCTATTACGCCACCCTGTGATCAATGAATCGCGAGGAAGCCGCTCAAACGACTCGTATCAGCGAAATGCCGCCGAAAAAAGCTATGAATTACGTCGCCGGCGACGTCAGGTGCACCCTCAAGGTGCAACCCCTTCCCGACTTCATCGATCCAGCCCCAGAATTTTTTGCCAGCCGATGTAATCGAATTTCCAAGCCAGCCAATTTTTGTTAATAATTTAAAACAGACGTGATTCAGAATTTTTTGCCGGCCAATTTTACCATCCCCAGGTTTCATTCGTATTTATTCCGTTCTTCTTGCGTGAAAAGAATTTTTTTAAATTTCGCTTTTGCTTTGTTTCTTCAGGAAGCGGAAGCAGCACGTTAGCACCCTGTATCCTGACGATGATCGTCGGCCTGTTTGTGCTGCGATAAGAAAAGGAGGCCTGGTGTTGTCGCTCGTGCTCATCCCCGATCCTCCACCCCCGGTCCCCGGTCAGGCCTCCGAAGGAAGCTGCGCGAAGATCGCTGTGTACTAAATTAACCGTGTTGTTTCTATTTTTTATAAAGAAGCAGTTAGTGGAGTTAGCGGGACGTAAACCAAAGTATATGAATCTATATACTTAAGTACACACTTAACGTTAGGATGTTAGGACGAGGGGTTGCGTGCAACCGTCGAACCAGGAGTCTGCCCCACTGTTGCCATTTATGGAAAATTTTTACGGATTTGGCGTGCAAAGATCTTGATACGGGTTTCATAGATCTTTTTTAAAGTTCTCGACGAATTTATTGGAAATCAGTTATTAAGAATCCGGCGGTAGCTTTAATTGCAAATTGATTTGTCGGCAATTTTCGGCAAATTGTTCGTTCAGTTTTTGTTTCGATTAATTCCGAAGACGTCGACGAACAGATTTCTGGTACGACTTAAGGAAAAAAAAGATGATCGAGCATGGTTGTTTAAGAGTTTTTATTCAGTCGTTGACACGATGCAGTGGACAGAGTTTAATCACAACCGAAATTTATAAGAATCTATCGTCGTCTGTGTGTCCCCGGGCATGGGAGAGCGTGCATATTTCACCCTAGCATTTCTCCCACCCTCTTCTTTGCTACTTGCGAAATCGGGACACAACAAGAGGTGGGGGGGAGGAATGAAACCTCGAACGAGTGTGAACGGTCCAGCCTCAGTCAGCGAACTTCGAGTCCATTCTGACTGAAATTGCTAGCTGTTGTCGTTCACGAGAGAATATTTTCCATCATTTATTAATTAACAGATCTTTATTGTTAATATCCAAGCTTTCGCCAATTGTTTTATAAAAATGAGAAATCGGGAATATTAAATTATGCTAAAGCTTTCGTTGATACAACATTGTACAATTTTTTTAATAACGCGAATAATCCGCATGGGTCAAAATGGACACGAAATTCATCATGGGGAATTAATGCTGTCCAACAGACTATGACTTCTTTCGGATTTCTAACTTGCAGTAGCTATTTCGTAAACCTTTCTTCGCTTCCGTTCCAAGAAGATAGGTTCAATTAAATGATCACGCATGATCTTGTGATATTTTTCGGTTTATCTCTGGAATCATAGATGCAGAGAGAAATTTAACTACACCGCATAACAGAGCAAACAATTTCCTTGTAAAATACGTCAACAGGAGTTATATACGTCAAACGTCACACGTTTCCTCCGAACAGTTTCATTGTTATCTCTTGAACAAAAGAAATTTGATATAATTCCATAAAGAAATTATCTGCTCCTTCGCATAGTGTAGTCAGATTCTTCCCCCACCGTCTTTCTTCACGAGAAAAATGGGAAAATATGCGGAGATCAACGCATTTTTGGCATTCTTTTCATTTCAATAATTATCCAGGACTAATGTGGCAACATTAAGCTGTGTCAATCCGTTTAGTCGAGTTCAGAGAAGAATTCCGACTAGAACTTTGCAAGTTAGAGGTCCGAGAAGCGTTGAACAGTGTAATCACCGCAACGCCAGTGTGACTGCGAGGGCGTGCGTGCCCGAATTATTTATAAACATAATTGTACACGAGTGTTTCTATCGTCCAGTCGCCAGAGAACGAAAGCAGACTACTCAGCCCGGTGAGAATTAAAACGGTTTCTCACGTCGTAGCTTTTATCAATCTAGTCGCTATTAATCGGCAGCAATGATACGTTATATCCTAGAGTTATCGTGAGCCGTATGTGAGGTTTTATGCATGCGTGTATGTACGAATGTGAGCGATCGTGTAGGCGTGTGTTTCACCAAAGAACATCCGCGCTATAACATTCCTAATTGTTACTTAACCGCCAGCACACATAGGGTGTGTAGAGTTGACGTCGTACTGCCTCGTACTGCCACACTTTGTGTACGGTTTAAGCGTAAGGACGTGCAGTCTGTACATATGTACATAAATCGGATCGACTTTTATCTTTAACTTAACGTTCTGATAATAAACCCGACGAATTCACGTCGACGAACAACCGACAGCGTGTTCCCTTATTTATAACAACCGATCAAAACGTGCCATCAGAAGGTGGAGGTGCTGAACAGACACCTCTGAGAGAAAAAGGCATGCCTCTTTCTCTGAGACTGGCAGGACCTTGCCGGAGATTTGACAAAGAAGTTCGAGATCTTCTGCTCCCCGGGTGCTGGCGCATCCTCCACTTCCTCCCACTCCACAGACAGGGCCTGAGACTCTAAAATCTTTTCTGCAGTGGACCAGCTGAATCTGACTATACGTGGGAACCCAAACACAGGGTCCACATGCTGAGAAAGCCACTTCTTGGTCTCTGGGTCATTCGGGTAACCACTCCCGTACTCTGAATTGATGTCTCCCTCAAGGAACTGCCATGCCCTGATGGCATGGTCACGAGAAACCTTGGCACAGATACTGGCTGCACTTACAATAGGGTAGGTGGAGTCAGCCTTCTTTGCTACCACTATTTTCAGGCCTGGGAAGATCTGCTCCAATCTGGCCTGGTATTTCTCTGGCTTGCCCACTGTGTCCACATAGATCTCTGTGATTCTGGCTCCTTCCTCTATCACCCTCTGAGCCAATTCAATAGCAGAGACCATGGACACCTCATTAAGAGAAGTTTTACTTCTACGGTACATGCTGTTGGATATGGTGTTGGGTGATATCACATCCACAGCCCAACCCATGGTCTCCCCATGTTTACAAATTTCATCGAAAATATCGTCCCTCTTCTCTTCCGTCAAACTTTTCGAATCAGCGCATCCTAGATCTACCAGAAGCTTTTTCTCGGAAAGCGGAGCGTAGGCGATCCCGTAAACCATGGGGCCGAGGACTGGTCCACGACCAGCCTCGTCAATACCCAACTGGCATGGCTCGTCTTTACAAATTTGCGGAACCTAGGGTGTAGGGCATAGTTTAAAGTTTCGAATGACAATTGTTGAAAGACGATTGTTTACATTATTTTGACGCATACCTTCGACAAGTAAACCTTGTTGATGCTGTGGTCCCAGGCTTTCAAATACGGAGTCAAGTTTCCCCTATGGGTAATTTGAGAATTGTTCAAGGAATCCGCGCCATTCTCCTCCGATTTCGTTTCGTCTTTGTTCTCTTTCGTATCTTCCATGATATCGTCAGCTTACTCACAACAAGGGACGCGAACTATGGAACACTTAACCTGAAAATGTTTAGACTAACCGCCAAAAATTCAGATGCTATCGATAAGTCGTATCGAAATAAAATGGCGAATTTGTCCAAAATGACCACACATGTTTAGTTTATTTATTTTTAGATTTTTCCTGTGTATTATCGTGATTGTAAGCAAACTAAAATTAGCATATCCTGAAGTGCAAGTTTTCACGTTTAATTTGAGCTAACGAACGTTAATAATATCAACGGGAAAGCAATGATGCATTGTTTTTTATAGCTAATTATTCATGCAATAGTGGTTCTTCCGGGATAATTTTGAAGCGCAGCAAATGAGGTCCGTACAGCATCGAAGCAGCTGAAAACGCCCAATATTGCCCAATATCGGACGTTTAGAAACAATTTATAAATTTTACCATCAGCTGGAAAATTACTGAAATCGAGGACACATGAAATAAAAAATAAACTAGAGCCCTATGCTGCGTAAAGCGGCAACACTGCTTGCATGTACATACGTCCATTTTGTCCAAGATTTCGGACATTTTCGCCACTGTGCGGCGCTGGGAATCGGGCATTAAACATCATAACATGAAAATTAGATTGCATTTTCGTTAACTGCGAGTAGTCTCAGCAGGATTGAAAAATCATCTTGATCGTCATCCGAAAAATTTAAAAATTGCGGCATCGTTTGAAGACTGTTCATCCGACACGTGATTAAACGATCGATTGGTATAGAAGGGGGAAATCGGGGGACACTTCAATGGCGCTTTGCGTATCGATAAACCATCCGCTGTAGACAGAGACCATCGCGTTTCAAAAGCTTTTCCTTGGCTGTGGTTCTGAGAATGCGTTAACGTTTGTCTTCGGTAAAAATACATACAGTTGATGAAACCGTGTTATACAGGTATTGTGGGAAACTCTGACCTAACCTAGAAATAAAATGCTTGGACTGTTAGTCACCTCGTTTAAGTCCCGATTCTCTCCAAGAATTTGATTACCACGTTCTCGTGTCGATTACCGCTCGTTATAGCGAGCACATGGCATCATGAAAATTACCGTGAAGAAGCTCCACGGAAAAGAATGCGTTGTTGACGTGAGTAACAAACATTTCGATTCGTTTTTATTCTTCTCTATTTCGCGGGCGAATTTTTTGTCGTCGTGATTGTTATTGTTCGGTCATATTACTTTGTACGATGCTACAAATTTTTCATTACTTTTTATCGATAACGTCACAGCTCTCGTAGTTACCTGCAATTTCATTTAATTTTCAGATTATGCCCTCAGACACGGTGCTTCAGCTGAAACAAAAGATCAGCGATCTTTTAGACATAGAGGTACCGCAACAGAAATTATTGCACACTGGCAAAACACTAGCTGGTAAGCTATAAACCAAATCGCTTTAGACAGACGCCCGAACTTAAATCCAAATAATAGGACGTCCGAGTACCCGAATTTAAATCTAAGGACTCTAAAATGTTATTTTATACACCTTTTTTTCAGATACGAACCCTTTGAGCTTTTACCCGGATATTAAAGATGGCAGTAAACTGAACTTGTTGGTTAAGGCCGAGGAAGGACCTAGCAAATGGACGATGCCAGTTCGTAAAACAGGGACGAACGTTTTGAGAGATGAGATATCCAGAGTTTTGAGGCATTATTACACAGAGCCGGTCACGGAATCTATAGTCAATGAATTAATCGAAGACCTGGAGAACAAAGTGAACAATCTTAGCTACGACGACTTAGAACGATTAGCAACCGCGTTGCTCCAGGACCAAGAGAACATAGATTAAGAATACTTGGATTTTCCAACTTTGCTTATTATTTGATTACTGTAATACACTTTATTTAATTAAAACGTTGCATGGTTGTATTCCGAACGAAAAAAAATTCGTTAGCACGATCTTGAGATAGACCGCGGAGATGATACACAAGAAGAAACGTAATTCTGAATGTATGAAAAAATCGATTTTATTAAAACATACAAGTAGAATTGTAACTGCACTTCAGGAAATGGACTCCTATGGATCCGCCATGTCCAACTGACGAAAATACCTTGCTACTAGGCATATGAATAAATTCAGTGCCCCAATTTCGTGTACTTCCAAGTTTATCTAGAAAAAAGAAACAGAACAGTAGCAAAAACTAATGGAGTTCACGGGCAAATTAAGAATTTGCTCGAAGTTCAACGAATCGTTTTATACCTTCTCTTAATATCGATCGTAATTTCAATTAATCTTCATTTAAATTATTTCCCGCGATTACTCGAATGATTACGTAAATGGCAAATTTTATATACTACTATGCAATAAAATTGATTTGTTAAAAAATTGAAAAACTGACTGGTCAATTATGCTTTACCGAATTCGAGCGGATGATCGAACATGTTCTGGCCAGACTCCGCAAGCAGGAACACATTTCGGGGGTTAACGGCATCTCCAGAATGGCCAGTAGTGCGTACAACCACTGGCCTAATTTGTGGATTATTTCTTTCTCCACTTCTACGTAGTCTATCAAATACTCCAGGATTTGTTCTACCATTGGTTGATTCAAGGAAAATACCGTATTCAGGGTAGGATCAGTTTTTTTCTCCCCCTCATAAGTGCCCAAACAGAATTGAATCCAACCCTTTTCATCATCTATATCTGGCTGTAAAATTAAACATCAAACAGTAGGAAAATTGGATAGTTGAACCATCCAGAAAATATATTTATATGTACCAAATTAATAGAAGGGGGTTTCCATTTCCGTTTGGACGACTGAATTTCGTCTTTAAGTTGACTAATGTATAGCCTCACATTAGAGAAGTCCGAGAATTGATACTGCTGCCAATCTAATGTTGGTCCTAGGCATGATGGTGCTTCCATACATCCTGATAACTTTTTGTGCTTGTATTATTATTCCACAGATTGCTCCTTTAATGTTTGGCACAACTTTACTCTTTGCCTGTACGTTCTTGGCAAGATTTGTTCGAGTAAAGTGATACCAGACATTTTAGGAATATAGTTTACATACTCCACTAATTTGTTGTTAAAACGGAATTTCGAAAAATGGTGTCTGTACACTTACAGGTTGAACATTGATAGTAGGCTGTACAAATTGACTTCGATCGATGTTTGCCACTACAACATCCGCACATTGTTGTGCTTCGATTCTACAATGTAAACCAGTGATATCTGATAAATAAACCCACGGTAAAACTATGTAATTACTTACACCACTCTTTTTATATACTCTTCTCCGGAAGTTGGTGGTAAGGATAGATTTATGTCACCGTCGATGTCGCCAATAAGGAAAGCAGGCTCTTGTAAACAATCAGTCATTTTGCTTTCTTTTTATTCTCGGTTAACCTTACGATAGAAAACTTGCAAGAGACTGTTCAAAGGATAGGGTAAATTTTGGGATATAATAAGATTTTTTAATTTCGGTAGCTCGTCAATACTTTAGAAGCAATTATATGTAGACGTATATAAATATCGATTAATTATTTATTATTCAACTAACATTTGCTAAAGAAACATTTATTGAAGTATTGCACAAATAGTAGTGGATAGAGTCGCTAATAATTTTTAGATTTTATTGTTTTACCGTAATTAATTACAAACTCTCAATTAGCCTACCATAAAGTGCAATTTTCCAGTTTCGATATGAGCTATCGAAAGTTAAAAAATATCAACGTGAAAGCATTAAAATATTATTTTCTTATTATATATGTAAATGTCGACGGCGACAGTAACGCCTCTTGTGGGAAAATCTTGAAGCTTCCAAGAGGGTCCGTACAGCGCCAAAATCCGTAGTGGCAAAACGCCCAAACTGTTGGGCAACGTGACCGACACAGGCGACTAATGTAAATGTCGCCACCTGGTGTGAATTTGCGGAACTCTTTGGAAGAATGCTTGACGGTCTTGTCAAGGGAGGCACCGCAGTCGTATGTCGACTTTCTTCATCTGGCACCATCTAGCAGAGCAAATTAAAAACAAAATTGGCGAGAAGTTTGGGCGTTTTGCCACTACATGTTTTGGCGCTGTACGGAGGTCGAAAGAAGCTTTCTAAACTTCCCGCAAGGGGCGCTATTATCAATTGCAATAATGATTAACTAAAAATTAAATTCCAATGCCTTCCCGTTGACATTTTTCAACTTTCGATAGCTCAAATTAAAACTGAAAAATTGCACTTCATAATAGGATAATTATGGGTTGATGATAATTACGATAACATACTAGAAATCTAGAAATAAGTTGGAATTTCATTCCTCATGCACTGTGAAGAAGCGGCAACACTGTCAACATGTAGGTCTTGTGTATCCCACTATGCACATGATGAGAACTAAATACTCAACTTGAATCTGATTATGTATTCGTGTCTGAATCGATTGCGTATTCGAATACTTGAATAAATTCGGATATGTAGGTCCCTATACATTAGATATCCGAGTTCTTAAGCTAAGGCACCTGTAACCGAACTTAACAGAGAGGAAATTTCTTCTCTTGCCCTAGTAAGAATTTCTTGTTCTAGGAAGTTTTACTGAAATGTCACTTCCGCTCATAGGCTTTTCCGTTTGGTTACGTGTTTGATATGGTGCCACAACTCTAGAATCGAATGAGCCGGTGTGTCTCGTGGCAAGCGACGGATACATATGTACGATGAGACTTCTGGATAAATTCTTCTACTTATTTGCGATTGTTGGTCTTGCCAATGCTGGCGGACCAACTCTCGTTCTACTCGACAATTTAGCCATTAAGGAAACACATTCGATATTTTTCAAGACGTTACAGGGTACGTAAACATTCCGGCATTTTCGTTGACAGTCTCTATCGGCATCCTTTCCTCCTTTAAGAATTAAGAAAAACATTTGTTTGATCGATACATAAATACTTCTCCCTGTTCTCCATCTAATTTTTTTAACACATGAAAGATTAATAGACAACTTTATTTTCAGATAGTGGATACACGCTGACGTTCAAATTAGCGGATGACGCTAATTTGCAGCTCTCCAAGTACAGAGAGTTCTTGTATGAACACTTAATTATATTTGCCCCAACTGTGGAGGAATTTGGTGGTGCCTTAAGTGTGGAAGCCATCACTGACTTCATTGACGGAGGTGGAAATGTTTTGGTTGCGGGTTCCTCCCAATCAGGGGATGCTCTACATGAGCTAGCATCAGATTGTGGTTTTGAGATAGATGAGGAAGGCTCTGCAGTCATAGATCATCTGAACTACGATGTATCAGACAATGGCCACCACACGAAAATAATTGCAGAGCCATCCAATCTGATAGATGCTCCTGTAATTGTTGGAAGCAAGAAGGTACAACCTTTGCTGTATCAGGGCACAGGTCTCATCGCAGACACAGACAACCCGTTGATCCTGCGTTTGCTGACTGCATCCAGTTCAGCCTATTCCTACAACCCACAGAATCCAATAAAGGATTACCCTCACGCAGTTGGCAAAAATACATTGTTGATAGCAGCCCTACAAGCCAGAAATAATGCGCGCGTCGTATTTTCCGGCTCGCTGTATTTCTTCAGTGATGAAGCTTTCACTAGTCCAATTCAGAAAGTTCAAGGTGAGAAGGAACTCACACAATCTCTGGACTAACTATTGCCACATTATTTATATACTTATTATTTATGCAGACGGGCAGAAACACGAGAAGTCTAGCAACGAGGCCGTGGCGACCGCTATCGCCAAATGGGTGTTCAAGGAAAATGGCGTCATTCGCGTTTCTACAGTGCATCATCACAGAGCTGGCGAGGTACAACCGCCAGCGGCCTACACCATTATGGACGACGTTGTCTATTCGATCGAGGTCCAAAAATTGTCCGCGGACAAATGGGTGCCCTACGAAGCGAACGATTTGCAGTTGGAGTTCGTTCGAATCGATCCCTTCGTCCGCATGACGATGAAACCCGTCGGCAATGGCCGTTACGAGGCCAGATTCAAGATCCCCGACGTCTACGGGGTGTACCAATTCAAAGTAGACTACACCCGAATCGGTTTGACACATTTGTACAGCACGACACAAGTGTCCGTTCGACCTCTACAACATACACAATACGAACGTTTCATACCTAGCGCATATCCCTACTATGTCAGCGCTTTCTCGATGATGGGAGGTGTATTTTTATTCTCTTTGCTATTCCTGCATTACAAAGAGGATACAAAGCCGAAGTCTGAATGAGTACATAAGTCTGCTGTACACAGCCAAAAGAGCAAAGTGTTTATTGAGACATTAAAGAAGTGGCGATCGTCGCACTACGTAAGCACTGTGCATCGTTCACGTTAACTTAATTCTTGAACGGTCGACTAAACATTCACCTCGGAACTGGTTTCTCTATCAATACTATATTTTGTTACATTGTTAGTAGATTTTTTAAATGATTTTAATACAGAATAAATGAAGTTTCCTAAATGATTTCCGCACGATTTATACGGACGTTTATAGAGGTCGGGTCAAATGTGACCCGGCGAGCGAAGCTTAATCTAACAGTGTGAAAAGGAGTAATGCAACGTGAAAGCAATGTTTACACATTTAAAAGACCTGTACAGAAAATTCGGTAACTTTGAATAAATATAATACCGAAATTACGATGTTTTGTTTTGTCCCTAACCGTCGGATGACCGACGCCCAATGATGAGATAAAAGACGGCTAATCCAAGTTATTTATGACCTATGATAACGTCGACTAGCTGCTGATAAATAAAAAGAAATATTGTTTCAGTTTGTTAATGAACTGAAAATTCGAATTCACGTGCATCCAGTGCAGTTAAAACTTAAATCACTGAATAATGAATTATATGTTGTCACAGAGACGTTTCTCATTGGCCGGTAAAAGTGCATCATGATTGCACTTTGTACGAGCCGTGTCGAACAAGTGCGAAGAAAGAAAAAATAACCACAAATTGTTTCTACAATTGGGCGAATAGGCGAAAGAAATAAATTGCTTATTTAACGGTAAAACCGATGATTTTGCCTACTCGTGGGCGCCCCAGAATCCACAAAATTCCTAACGGTTGATCGTCAACGTGGGATTACCTCAACAGTCTAATAATAATACATCGTGTAACTACATAGAATGCAGTTAAATTAAAATTATACGCTATACAGAAATTAAACAAGGAATAACACTTGGTGACACAAAGTGTCGTGAGTTGCAAGAGTTTCACAGCAATGTCAAAATCCTACGACGAAACTGTCGGTACACGATCGATGCAACATTGTTTAACATGACTCCCAGTGATACACAAGAGGCTTCGAAGATTTTCATTTGATTGAAATAGAATCTGGATATGAGAGATATTACTTTCGCTCGAGGACAGTTATATCTGTTCGTCAGTATGCTCCATGGGTGCTGTTATTTCGTGAATCGCGAATGTTTGAACGAAATTCGGAGCGGATAACCTAAACAGTTTATTTATGCCTACTACTGTATATAAGTTTTGTTTTGTAGCTATTAAGGGACACCCCGAACATTCAAAATGTTGGAAGGACTCGTTGCGTGGGTGTTGAACAATTATCTCGGGAAATATGTTGAAAACTTGAATACAGATCAACTTAGCATAGCTTTATTGTCGGGTAAGGTTATAATTCTTGGCCTGGGAATAGACCACCCTGGTTGATGTCGATTATCAGTTGATAATCGACGACACTTTATTGACAATTAAATAAATGGTAATGTGGCTATTTAGATGCGTATGAACTTTGCAGGAGAGGTGGAATTAGAGAATCTTCCCTTGAAGAAGGAAGCTTTAAGGCACATCGGGCTACCGATTGAGATAAAAGCTGGTTTTATAGGGAAGGTCAGGGTGCAGGTGCCTGTTCGTCAGATCAGAACAGCATCCTGGGTTATAGTCATAGAGCAACTGTACTTAGTGGCTGGACCAATAAGTTTGAACGAGGTAGGTGCATTAGGATTTAGAGTACATGATACTCAAACTTCAGTACTTAAATGTTCACTGAATTAAGATTACTTCGGTTTTTATTCGATTTAAGATCGAATGCTCGACGAATTTTTTATGTTCGGGTAACGAGAGTTCGAATTAAAATTTACAGTTCGATAACGAGGCCGAAGAACACGCAATTTTAGAGTACAAACTGAGTCGGTTGGATTCGTTGGAAGCAAGATGGAGGGCGGACACAGACTCCCGCGATCCCGGTTACTATGCCACCAGTTACAGTTCTTGGGTGAATTATGGAACGTCGTTGATGACAAGTATCATCGAGAACTTACAATTTCACATTAAAGATGTACATATAAGATACGAGGATGGGGTGACGTTGTCGAATGGTAATGATCCTGTTTCGATCTGTCCGAACTTACGCGATCGGTAAAATGGTTTTCGTTCGAAGGTGGCGGGATTGCACTCGGTATAACGATAGGATCGCTAACTGCACAAAGTTGCGATGCCAGTTGGATACCTGGATCCACTTCGTGGAACCTGACAGACGCCTCCTTGAAGCTGATGGAGCTCGACAGGCTCGCTGTTTATTGGAATCAATTGAAAACAGACGAGTTTTTCGGGTCCCTCAATCTCGGTGATTTAGCTGTATATATTTACTTTTCTACGAATTGTCTAACCGATGAATCGATGAATCGATCAATGGTCTTTTGAGTAATATTTTTCCGCCCGGCAGATTGCTATGAGCGAGTCGAAGAACGTAGCGAAAAAGTACATATTGTCGCCCGTTAATGCAAAAGCGTATATTAAAAGGGACAGATCAGAACGACCACTGAGATCCACAAACAAGCCAAGAATAGTGGTAGATCTTCATCTAGATGAAGTGCCATTATGCCTCACAGATGTATGTATTCGAATTCGAGTTCCTATGGCCTCGAAGTACGAAGAATGACTCTCGTTTTAGGTACAGTATAACCAGGCAGTGAAATGCATAAGGGGTCTGAAAGACATAGAGCGTCAGAAACAGCAAAGACGTTGTCGTCCATCAGTTAGTGTATCTACAGCGCCTAAGGAATGGTGGAAGTACGCTGCGCGCTGCCATCTTGGCAAAGAAGCTCTCAAACCTAAGCCAACTTGGGAGGACATGCTTTGCAGAGGGAAAGAGAATATTTTATACGTCGACAGCTATACTAAGTTGTTAGGTAATCGTCTGAAAATGATACAGTACTCCGAGAAACTATAGTTACGAATTATTTTCGTGGAGTAGCATACAAGTCCCTTCTTTTAGAGCGTATTTTTTAAATTATTATTATTCTCCAGGAACGCCAACGAGTATTTTACCGATGGATATAAAGCAAATCAAGGAGAAAGTGGAGCAAGAGCGCAATTTCGACGAGCTTAGAGTGCTGCGGGAGATAGCAATGTACAGGGTCAAGCCGCCGAAGCCTGCTCCGAACGTGAACGAAAACGTGCCTCAAGGTCGTGGCATGCTGGAGCAGTGGTTTCCGCAATGGTGGGGTTGGTACTCGAAGGCACCTAACACAAACACCCAAGCCACATCCTCTACCTTTGATGGGGAGCTTTTGGATGTGCTAGCAGACACTATAGACGACGACACCCTCCTCCGCCGCGACATGATATTCGGCCAGTTTAATTTTACACTGTCCAAGGGAGCAATATCCCTCTGTACAGTCAAGGCCGAACAAGCGAAGACTGTGATAGAGTTGCAATTCGAACGGGTAAACCTGAGCTACGAGTCCAGGCCTAGGTCTGGGTCTCACAAGTTCACGATCAGTTTGGGGGCTCTGTACTTGCACGATTATCTCACGGAGAACTCGACTTTCCCTATTCTTGTACAGCCCCAGGTGGTGTCCACCATAGTCTCCCGTGCGCGTAGCTCCTCAGAGAAACTGACCAATCAATTGCCACAGCATCTATTCGAGATGACTTATGAGAAACGTCCACTTCATATAACCGCCGATCACTCGTTGCACGTGAATTCGAAGTCGTTGGACGTGGTGTACAATCCCGCTGTGATTTCTTGGCTCATCGACTTCATGTGCGAGCCTCACAGGTCCTCCACCACGCAAAGGATACAGGCGATGAAGCGCAGAACGCACAGGCAGCTGATCAAGAACTGGGAGCAGATTCTGGAGGGCGACTTTGTCTATCGGTCATCTTGGGACTTGCAGTTTAATATATCTGCACCCCAGATCCTGCTGGTGGAGAATTTCACAGATTCAAATGCTGCGGTTGTGGTTGTTGACTTTGGCAAGCTTCACTTGACGAATAGTGTTCAAAACGATGAGGTCGTCATCAAGCCAGGCTCGGGGACCAACAGCGACGATGAGGACGAGAGATTCGAGACACCTTGTTCTACACCACCTGGTAGCCAGGAGAACGGCTCCGTCCAGGATTTTCAAACTATATCAGAGACAGCTTTGCACCAAAAGTTGTACGACCATTACTCTATCAACCTAGTCGATCTGCAGATCTTAGTGGGTAAGGTGAAGGACAACTGGAAACATGGCCGCACCAGAGGCATGTCGAGTCTGCACGTCCTAGAGCGTTTCAACATATCCCTGCAGATCGAGAGACGTGTGTTCAACACATCAGACCCTAATTTTCCTTCCGTGACGGTGTCCGGGAATCTGCCGAGATTAGTGGTGCACGTTAACGAACAGAAGGTAGAGGCGATTAGGCTGATGTACAATTTGCTTTCGAACTTCTCCAAATCAACAGGCATTGCACAAACTGGCGTGATCAGTGAAGAACCTGAGAGTCCGAAGAAAGAGGAGTCAACAGACAAGTCTCTGAGTCACGCCGTGATGGTTCAGTTCATTATCGATCAGATGACTTTCGAGCTGCAGTCAAGAGGTCGCAGTGTCGCGGAGTTGCAGGTCTCCGGAGTTAGAGCAGCGTTCAGTAAAAGGACTGCGGATGTTTGTGTTTCTTTGTCTGTTCACGGTTTACTTTTGGTTGATGCACTTCAAGAATTTGGGCCTGACTTCGAGTTGTTAGTTGCCAGCCACAAACACGTCGGGATGGACAGTGTCTCCGGGAGCCTGAGGGACTCTGAACCCACCTCGCCAGTTTCTCCGGTGTCCCCTGGCTCCCCTGACCCTAACGTACCAAGACGCCTAACTTCTCCAATTGCTTTGACCAATGCTTTGTCCAATCTAGCGACTAGATCAAAGAACTTGCAATCCTCAAAGAATAACTCGTTCATCGAGTTAGACAAGACGGACTCCGAAGCTCTGATAGTCGTAGAACTGACCCTAGTGTACGACACCTTAGAGAACCTGAGGGTGGCTAACATACAGTTCAACAATCTGGATATAATCGCCAATCAGGAGACGATAGTAGAGCTGATGGGCTTTTTCAGGAGGATATTCCCGTCACAGAAGATGAGACCGGGGCACATAGAGAGACAGGAGTCCATGTCGAGTCAGACTATAGACTCCAAAGTGTCCACTAGGACCGAGATAACTTTCGACTTCCATAGGTTAAACGTACTACTCTTGAGGGCGGTGATGCACGACAACCACCTGGTGGGTCAGAAGATCGCCACAGCAACAATGTGCGACGCCAGGATACAGGCTACCTTGGCTGTGAACGCTTCGATCTCTGGGTCCCTTGGGGGCCTACAGGTCCTGGACCAAACGCCAACTGGCAAGGTGCACCAGCGTATCATCAGCGTCGGAAGGGATCCCATCGCAGATCCTCTTCAGCAACCATTAGAGCACTTTACTAATCTGTCCAATCAGCCTGAAGCGTTGAGGTTCTCAGCAAATCGGTGTACCAACCAAAATGGCCAGCATCAGGATGGACCGGTGACGTTAATAGATCTGACGATTCGCGTAGGCAGCGTCTGGTATACTCATGCTCCACACCTTCTCTCTGAACTACGCTCATGTGCCGATGACTTCAAACAGTATTTGAAAAACCTAGCTCGCCAAATCAGCGCAGCAGCTACAGACATGGCAATCGGCTTGGTCAACGCGGAGGACTGGTCCATTCCGCCGCGTAGACGCTTACCAAGCCTCTCGGTAGACCTGGAACCCTCTGGCAGCGTGTCTTTGAAGCTGGACATTCTTTTGGACAGTCCTGTGCTGGTTATACCTCGATCATCCCACAGTTGCCAAGTCTTCGTTGCTCATCTCGGTACAATGTCCATGCAACACGAACCCCATCTTGACTCTATGGCGAAGCATAAGCTAACTTTAGAGGTGCGGGACATGAACATATACTCCCTTGAGGTGTCGCCGCAGGTCGGCAAAGGGCCCAACAATTTGCCTCAAAGGGCCGAAGAGATATATTCTTGCAAAGAGTCCGGGAAGCCAATTTTGCACGATACAGTATTGAAAGTAGTAGTTGAGATAGAGAATACATTAGCACAAACACCTAGTTTCTTCCTGGACAATGAATTCTCCAATAACCCGGTGGTTCAGGTCCATGGGGTCGTGACCAAGCCGTTAAAGGTCTCTCTATCCAGAGGCCAATACGAGCAACTGCTGGACACTATCAACAGGATGTTCTCGATGCCAGTGGCAGTGCCCGTCGTCCAAAAGTCTCACGTGACCAACAAATTGCCAAATTATTCCGACAAGCTGGTTGTATCCATGAAAGTCCTGTTTGAACTGCCTACGTTGAGCGTGGAGTTGAAGCAAGGCCTTCTGGAACAGCCACTAGTCGAGCTATCGATGAGAGACTTTGTGGCAAAGTACGAGAAGCTACAGAAAAACGAATCCACTATTCAAGTCGCCCTGCGATCGTTGCTCATGGAGGATTTGCTGTGTCCTGTTGGCTCCAGGCACAGGTGCATGATGCAGTCCTCTGCCCCAACACGTGCCAAGCTTCCTGCAGGTGTCTCCAAGTCTTGCCCAGATCTGGCGTTTATCCAACAATTCAGATGCGAGTTTGGACGGGGTAGCTTGCCCGATAGATTAGAAACTGACACCCTGTATGGTGCCATCCCTGATCATTGGCGTAGAAAGCCTGTCTCCTTAGTCGGCACCCCCAATACTCCACCTCCCTCACCTGGTGCCGCCACGAGCGAGGAGAATCTCGTGTTGATGAGCATCACTATAACTGAGCCAGACCCTGATCAGGAAGAAAAAGACCAGTTTCAACAGAAAAACATAACCGTGGACTTTAACTGTCTGGACCTCGTGATCAGCGTGGAGTCCTGGATGGTGGTCTTCGACTTTTTCGGATTCGCGGGACCATCCGTAATAAACTCCAAGCTTACCATGCAGACATCCATCGACGTGGATCAGCTGGGCAAGGCAGACAGCTTCCCCATACGATCGGAAACTGAGATAGAAGTCAGGTCTCTGACGTTGGTGCTGATACAAACTGAAAGGGAGATTGCCAAAGCGAACGTATCTAATGCCAACATGCACATTCTGAAGGTGAATGGGAAGACGATGGTGTCCGGATCCTTGGGGTCCATGTCGCTGCTAGACCTCACGCCTCACGGGAGATTCTATAGAGAGAGGTTCCTCTCTTCTGGTAGAAAAGCTTTGAACTTTCAGTATTCCAGCTACATGGACTCGGAAAAGCGACCTTACGATGCTCAATTGAAGTTAGAAATGTCCGCCGTTCACTATGTACACACCCAGAGATTCGTGGCGGAGCTGCAGGCGTTCTTCGCGCACTTCTCTCAGCTCTGGACCATCATGGCGAACCTGAAAGCTGGATTAGGAGCTGTCATAGACACCAGCAAGCGAAGCATGAGACTGTCCTTGGAGCTTCATGCAGGAGCTCCTGTCATTTTGCTGCCGGTCAGCTCCAGATCCGATGAACTGATACTATTGGATTTAGGAGAACTCACTGCTCACAACAAGTTCGCGGCTTCCGAGGTCATAGACAAGTGTATGCTGGACATAATGCTGCTCGAGCTGGTCAACATGGACGTTTACGCTGCCAAAAGGATGTCCTGCGACGACCAAAGCGAGAACATGGACAGCTTGGTTGTAGGCGGTTTCCTAATCAAGAAATTGGGCTCATCGTTGCTCACAGAGATGTGCCACTTGAAACTGAGGATAGAAAGGAACCTAGATACTTATATTAGCAGAGATATACCTGATTTAAGTATACACGGGACTCTGTCGACGATGGACTGTGCTTTGGACCCTGCTCAATATATGCTGATCCGAGGACTCTTGTCGTACAACATCGGGGAGAATTTGGAGGACTTGAGACAGTTCATGCAGGATCTGGACCAGACAGTCAAATACTCCATGGTCAGCGTGGATAATCGTGAGAAGATCTGGAAGAAGTCTTGCATCACGCTGGAGCTGGTGAACGTGACCGTGAAGCTACACCCTAATCACAACATTGCTGCTCTAGCCTGCATCAATTTTATAAAATCTCGGCTGACCTTGGATTCCTTGAGCGACGGATCGCAGGACATAGATTTAGTGTCTCAAGAAATCTTGATCACGGACACACGATTCCAGGATGAGCCTTCGAGTATGCAGTCGAACGTGTTCACAGGGATTCTTCAGCCTCTGAGGAACGCCAACAACGAGAACCGTGTGCAGGCTGAAGTGCATCACAGGAGACGCAAAGCGAACGCAGCGACCACCATTTTGGTACACAGCATGCGGCTGACGGCCATCTTGGATTGGTGGGAAACCGTGAAGGACTTCCTGATATTGAACTCTCCGGAACCTGCGCCCATCATCGGCATGGCACAGTTTTACGCGGAGAACAATCAGGAAAATGATAATAATGCTTCGTCTACCATACCTCTGGAACTGAAGATCAATATCACGGATTCAGAGCTGGTGATTGTGGAGGACACGTCGGTGTCTGACACAAACGCTGTCATCCTGAAGAGCACAGCAGTTTTATCATACAGATCTGCGCCGCAAGAAGGAGAGAAGCCTTTGTCCTGTAACTTGTCTCATTGTGAACTGTTCTCTTGCATTCCTGGTCTAGAAGAGGAAACCGCCTTGTCGATCATTGACCCAGTGGGGGCCAGCTTGGACCTGACGCAGGACAAGTGTCTTGAGATACAGTTGCAGCCATTATGTGTCAGGCTCAGCTACCATGATGTAACGATGTTCTCCAGAATGCTCAGTTCCCTACCAAAACAGACGCTAGTAGCCAAGCAACGCTCGAACGAGGTGTTGACGCCCACGGAGAAGCAAGTGCAGAAGTTGGCAGGGCTAGGATTTGCGGACACAGACTGCAGAGAAGCCCTGGATCTCTGCAATGGCCAGCTGGACGATGCAGCCTTGTGGCTGACACAGAACGCGATGCCTAATTCCGACGGGAGCACGAAACAAGAGTTTATTTTTCATACTATTGAGTTACAGATTTCCTGCGCTAGGATCTGCATTATAGACGATTGTAGGGACGCCGATGTACCTCTTCTAGAGATAACCTTATCGGATTTCAGCCTGAGGCAGGTTTGCCAAGGGCCTGGTTTAGTGTCCTCTATGTCCAGCATCGATTACTATAACAGAGTCCTCAGCGGATGGGAGCCGTTCGTGGAACCTTGGCAGGCTACTGTGCAGTGGGAGCAGACTTTGACCAACTCCCTCAGCTCGAAGAGGCTACAGATGTCCGTGGACTCTCAGAACTCTGTAGACGTTAATGTGACCTCGACGTTGATTGAGCTGATAGAGCTGGTTAAGAACAACTGGATGCAGGACTTCTACTCGACCTCGCTTAAGGACGTCAACCCGAACAAGCCGGTAGGGAATGGGCAAGCCTACCGACGCAGGCTGCCCTTCATTCCCTTCGCTTTGAAGAACGAGACAGGCTGTAATCTATGGTTCAAGACCATCATTGCAACCACAAACGACACCAAGGACGTGGGACCGAATTTCAAACAGAAAAATGTGTTCCAAAAGGACGACACTTGGATCGAAGTCGTTCCAGGAGGCACTGTGCCATTTACGTTCGAAGGGAGAGGGAAATTGAGGCATCATGCGACGCATAGCGTTAGGAGACATCAGATCACAGTGCTCGTAGAAGGGTGGACAGCTGTGGAGCCTGTAACTGTTGATCGCGTCGGCATATATTTCAGGCACGCCTACGATAGCAGTACTAATTTACAGGTGAGTGAACGTTTGCCAGAAGAATCCTGTCTGTATATTAATTATCATGGTCACTTTCAGGTGCTAGTACCTAAAGCTAGAATAGTATTTGCTGTTGAGTTAGAGGGGTCAGCTCGGAAGCTAGTAACAGTTAGATCAGCATTGCAGATATCGAATAAGTTAGCGCACACGGTAGAGATCAAGATGGAGAAATCGTTGCATCAGTTTGAATGTACGTCTGCATAATTTTCTAAAATCGGAATCATGTATTAAGAGCTGTTTTCTTTCAGACTTATCTTTGATCACACCAATCACCGATAGAATTTTCCAAGTACCAGCACAGTCCACCATATCGGTGCCGTTGACGCACACCGGTGTGCAGGTGTGTCTGAAACCTATAAACGTGAACAACTTGTTCCAATATTGCACGGAAACGATAGACTGGACGACAGTAAGGAAACCACTGGAAGTTATAGAAAATCGTATTACATGTAGAGCTAATCATAATAATATATTTAGGTAGGTACCGTTGACGTTGAGGTGGAATGATTTACTGCATTTGTAAATTCATTTGTTCTTGCAGGATGTGTGTGGCTGTTATGCGTAACAATTATCCGCCAGACATTGGTCATATGCTGCCAGCACACACTATAACTATCATGGCACCAATCACGCTAAACAATTTATTGCCGCACGAGATTTTGTTCAAAGTTGGTGCAGAAAGTAACAGAATAGCAGCTGGTAGCAGTGCTGATCTGCACGCAGTGAACATTGAAGAGCAATTAGAGATTACAATACAGATTGATGGTTACCCTGGATCAGGAACGGTGGGAAATTTGTCTCTGGTATTAAGGTAATATGAAAATATTAACAATTCAAGGAGAATATGTTTTTCATAGATGCTACTGCCACCGAACGCTAACTCCTTCACTGCTCGCCTCAAGCTAGCCGACTTCTCCGGCAGAATACTCTTTTTATACGCAGCTATCAATGTAGAGAAAGGTTCTGCAATACAAATTAGCATAACTTCGCCATATTGGATCCTAAACAAGACTGGCCTGCCCCTAGTGTTCAGACAAGAAGGGGTTGGCGTCGAGGCAGCTGGACAATTTGAGGAGCACGAGAAAGCCAGGATGGTGGCGCCACTGCTGTTCTCCTTCAGCGATGAAGAAGCTAGCAGGACATTGTCAGTTAGGGTTGGCACCTCGGTGCACCCTCACGGTATACCCCAGTGGTCCCAGCACTTTCATCTGCAGCCTGGGATACAGGTTTGTTCACACCATCAACCATCACGAGACGGTGCGTGATCTTGAATCTTCCAGGTGCACAGGCTTAGGATATCCTTGCGCGATGGCCGACCGGATATAGTTTACTTAATCAGTGTCGCTACCAGGACTGCAAGAGGAAAGTACAGAGCCACGACAGTGGTCACATTGTCACCTAGATACCAGTTGCATAATAAGTCGAGCTTCACGCTGGAATTGGCACAAAAATGTTTCACTACGACCATTGTAGGTCGATTCCTCAACTTTCGGTTGCTGTTTGCGCAGCTTGAGACTATAGCTCTTTCTCTTTCAGAGTCATCCAGACGCTCAAGCAACCTACATCAGAACTATGCCCGATTGTCATATGCCCTTTCATTGGCCAAGACTCGACAAAGACTTATTGCTATGCGTCCGGATCATAGACGTCAAGGACTGTATGTGGTCTGGTGGCATTAGGTTGGACGACAACTACTCCTTGACGATTAATATCAGAGATGCAGCCGGAAGGATGCATTTCCTCCGAGTGGACGTGGTGTTGCAAGAGAGCACGTATTTCATAGTGTTCACCGATGCGGACACCATGCCGCCGCCCATTAGGGTGGATAACTTCTCGGAGGTTCCTTTGGTGGTTAATCAGGTGATTAACGATAATGAATACGCTTCTCACGAATGCATTCCGACGTGATTCCTAGGTCTCATTCGCTAAGCTATCTGATCGAATTAATTAGAAATTATTTTCAAGAGTCTTCTTATAGGTCACCGTGCACGACAATCTCCAATGGACTGTGCGACCCCATTCGTCAGTTCCATACGCATTGGATGAACCAATACAATCCGCGGGTTTGGTGTTGACCGCACCAGGAGGCGTGACCGCCACCTACGACTTGAACATTCTCGCTGAAGGGAGGGGGTTGACTTACGAGAATTTTATTTACATTGCTTTCGCTGGTAATTTTTACTTAATTAGTACACAATGTGGCTCAGCAGCGAATGGTTATAACTATTATGGCTGTTAACACTAGGGACTTTTAAATCTGACTGTGACCTGGGATCAGGAGAGTGTGGGTTGGATCCATTGGACGTGGAGACCCAAAGATTGGTTCTAGAAGCTGGTCCTGGAGGCTGGGTGGCCTTGAGGAGAAAGCAATATGGCGCCAGGTCGCAGTTATGGAGGATGACCGGCGATGGCCAGATACAACACGAAGGTTTGTTCTAATTTTCGGTTTCTAGTGTATTGCGTTATTATCTTAATTTGATGGTGTATGATTCAGGGTCCAGTCCACCTAGAGACAAACACTCAAAGACACCTGAGACAGTGTTAGTGCTGGACATAGCAGGCACTGCACCACAACCATTTACCTACTGTGCGCTGGCCTTGAGGAAACCAGATTCCAGAAGAAGATCTACGCAGACCTGGCGGTTCACTGACGATGGAAGGCTGTGCTGCGCGCACAAAAATATGTGTGTTCAATCGAAAGACGGATTTATGGGACTACACGAAGGTTTGACATATAAGAACTACTCTCTCCTAGACACATTTTCTTAGTGGAGCTTACTCTTACCCCTTTGTCATCACATTTACATATAAATCTTTCGTTCATGTTCATCGCCATTTGGTTTGGCACCGTTTGATCAAGCTTTCGTGTGTCTTTGTTTCATTACCGAGCATTATTACTGCCAAGCAGATTCATTTTCGTTGAGAATACATTGTTGCAAAGGCAACCATTCCAGGATTATGATTTTACGTCCCGTTTTACCTGAGAAAGTATAATTATCCTTCTACTTGATTGGTGAGGTCTACATTGATAACGAATGTTGCAGGCGGCAGTGTCGCCCGTTGGCAAATGTGTACGTATAGTTTCGGGGTACACTCAGAGTACCGTCAATTTATGTATTATTATATTCAGCTTCAAACTCTGGCTTGCTTCTTTTTTTATTTCATTAGCGCTACGCGCACTCATTGCTGTTGTCTCTATGCATGAACGATATTTTCTGGAATATCTGGTTTTTCCTCCGTAACGTCGCGCAGTTTAGGGGTGAGATGCTTGGGAGTAGTAGCAGCGTTTCTATGCTAGTTCTCGTTAACCGTGAAACGAGTGTTTGGGATAGAGACGAGACACTATGGAGGGAAAGCTATATTTTTAACACTTTGATGTCTTTTAACTGAGCCACCTAACACCTCTGATTAATTGCTATGCACCTAATTCAGAGTTCGTTATTATATTTTTAGGGAGTGAAGCAGTGTTGGGCCCACAAACGCACAGCAGCCCTCCGCCGATCGAGCAGCGCGTTGGAAGGCAAAAATTGCGCCCAGGATCTGGTTTCTTGTCCATCAGAGTAACGACTGATGGACCAACGAGGGTGTTGCAAGTACTGGACATCAAGGAAAGGGTACGCAAAGTCCTTCAGTCTTGGAACGCCGATAAACTCCAGCTATAAATTGTCAAATAAATAAATTGTTTGCAGAAGAAGACCTTCGCTTTGTTAGAAGAACGCGACTGGTCTCACATCGCCGTCAGCCACCGGCCAACTCAGATAAACACAGACGCTGAGAGCCTAAACTCCAAAGAGTTGGAACTGAAGGTGAATCTAACAGCTGGAATAGGACTGTCAATCGTCTCTAGAAGACCAGTTGAAGAGCTGCTGTTTGCCCGGCTGGCTGCCATCACCTTGGAGCTTGTGCAAACTCCCGCAAACACCACCCTGGACTTGAGCATAGAAGATATCCAAATAGACAATCAGCTGTTCGAAGCACAATGTACCTCTGTCCTGTACGTCACTCGAGCAGCGCGTATAGATAGCGAACACCGTCCAGCGATCCACGTGGTCGCCGAGAAGCTGAAGTCCAAGAACCAGAATGCTGAGATCTACAAGCACGTGATCGTCAGCATCAAGCCTCTCTGTATCCACCTAGAAGAGAAGCTGATTCTGAAGTTGGCTGCCTTCATAGGGGCAGGACGGTCCGAACTAGAGGTACCAGTGGACGAGAACGACTTCAAGGCCCAGAGATTCATCTCCGAGGTCTCCGCAGCTCATGCAAAACGGTACTACTTCGGTGCGTTAAAGATCGTCCCTAGCCAGGTGAAACTCAGCGTGCTGACTACTACAAAGCTGCCGCGTCACCTCCAAGCGATCAAAAGACAGTTGGGCCTGACCTTGATCAAGTTCGAGGACGCTACCATCGAGCTGGAGCCCTTCATCAAGAGACATCCGTTTGAGAGCTCCCAGTTTTTGGTACATTCCATTGTAAAGCACTACAAAGACGACTTGAAGTGGCAGGCTGCGGTGATACTAGGTTCTGTAGACTTCCTTGGCAATCCTCTTGGCTTCGTCAACGACGTCACGGAGGGAGTCTCCGGTCTGATCTACGAGGGGAGCGTAAAAACCCTGGTGAAGAACGTGACCCATGGCATCTCCAACTCGGCTGCTAAGGTCACCGAGTCCTTGTCCGACGGATTGGGTCGAGTCATCATGGATGAAAGACACGAAGAAGCTAGACAGAGGATCAGAGCTAATACTGCTGGCAGCAGTGACCATCTGGTAGCAGGATTAAAGGGCTTTGGATTTGGATTGTTAGGAGGTGTAACTAGCATCTTCAAGCAGACATATGATGGTGCTGCTAATGAAGGATTTCCGGTATGTGTGAACAATTATATCCTAACGAAGGTGTAGTTGAACAATGATAAATGTTCGCAGGGCTTCTTCGCTGGCTTTGGCAAAGGGGTCGTCGGAACCATCACGAAGCCAGTCGTGGGGGTGTTGGACCTTGCGACGGAGACTGCCACTGCTGTACGAGAAACCAGTAGGAGGTAAAGACATCGTGCAAGACGTTATTATTGGGTGACTTCTATAACCCTGATTCTTGGTGTTCCCAGTGCTCACCGTACGATACCAACAAGGGACAGGCCTCCTCGTGTGTCAAGTGGTCCAGCAGGTCTGCTACCACCCTACAATCGCCAGCAGGCAGAGGGACAGGAGTTCCTCTACATCATAAACGACCATGATCACTCGGAACTGTTCGTCTCATACGAGTGTCTCCGTAGTGGAACGGAGAACTTGAGGGTATTGGTCTCCAACGAGAGGGTTCGCGTCATTTCCGGCGGAACTAAGGGAGTAGTGACCGAAGTTAGCTTGGTGGACCTGTTGTACTGTCAACCAACGCAGAAAGTTGAAAACAACGGCACAACGTTGCACTACATAGAACTCATATCCAGATCAGACTCGACGATAACCACCAACGTCGATGGTCCTGAGCTTTTGAGGAGACCAAAAGTACGGTGTGACAATGAGGACGTTGCTAAACGGGTAGGTAGACGCCGATTTTCTTTTGATCCAACGCGCTGTCCTTGACTGTCGAAATTTTTGGAAGGATAGCTACTGAGATTGAACATTGTTGTTCCAGGTATCGCAACAAATCAACTACGCTAAGGGGATGCACGAGGAACGCAATCTGACTCTGTCCTCGTCTGATAACATGCTCGACGACGTTCAGTACTACAAGTAATAGCGGACGTCGTACCCGCGTGCTGCTGTTCATGTATATTTCGCATACTAGTCAGGGCTTTGGTTCTCTCTTTATTATTTCTCTATTCTTATCTCTCTTTTACGTTTTGTAACAGTGCACATAATGATGCCTTACTACGCTTAAAACTATGTTGACAAGACTGATGCAAGGCACCATCGATGCTGCGGTGACGTGTGAAACTTTTTGCAGCGTAATTGAGAAGAGAGGGCGCGAGAACGTTCCATTGTCGCACAGGTAGCACACGTTATACTTTTGATACTACGATAGCAGGATAGAGAGGATAAGTGATCCCTTCGAAGAGTGCAAGAGATTTTTTTTTAATTAATTCCGCGTGTCTACACGTACGCACTTGTATTTTTGTCACGTGTGCGCGTATATGCGTGTGTGTGTCTGTGTGTGTGTGCGCATAATACATAAGTACAATTTGTAAAATATAGATGATTAAGGTACACGTATCCATTAAAATAATCTACTTAAGGCGATGCTGCATAATAAGAGAATTAACGAGAAACCAAAGTTTTTATATAGGATAGCTATTTATTTTCTAATTAACATGTTCGATATTTTGCATACTTTCGGTTCAAACAGATCGTATTTTTTAACGGTGATAAGGGTAGCTGGACAACGCCACTAACGAACGTATTAAAACTGTACATTCTATTTCTAACCGTGCGTGTAAATCTACTTAATAAACACTTGTACAAACACGTTAATAGAAACGATCGGAACAGCATTAACACTTGTTATAAGTTTAATGCATTGTACAGCTTAAGCGTAGGATGGCCAGTGGGAAAAGTGTTTGCCCACCGCAGCAACGAAACTTCAACGATCTTAACGTTGCATTGATAACGGCGAGCAAACATTTTTCCCACCCCCTGTGTTATATATTTCTAAATAAGATTGCACTGAATAGAAACCGGTGAACGATATCGCGTATAAAATAGTAAGCATGTTGACGAAGTGTATAATGATCTATTATTGTATACAACGATTGTCTAGATTTGTTACATCCCGACCATTTTCACACTGTCAATATAATTTAATAAAGAAATCCTTCTATTTTGTTCGATAGACGAGTGTATTCGTTTTCTTTTCTATATATTTTCTTTTTCTATCGTTCCAAGCCGATAGTTATCGATGCTTTTGTGCACGTTGTTTTCCCACCTAGAGCCGCGGAAGCCTCGCATTATCAGTCGATAACACGTTATCGCGGGCAAGTTTTGGTGCGAGGATCATGGCGCCTTGCATGATCACCTGAAATGTCAAGCCGCTGATCGGAGCCCGTCGCGGAACCGCTTTTTATTGTTGCGACAAGGTTTGTCGGGTAACAAAACATATCAGGTGTGACGCATCGCGGCAGTGACAGCAACGTCACGCGTAGAGTAATTAGCCTGACAAGGTGTACCAGGGAAAACAATAACCTCCAGCGATGGACGAAACATATTTCGACGAAGGGCCAGCGGGAAATTTTGAAACGACCACCCTGGAGATTTCGAAGCATCCTGAGGGAAACGAGCAAAATCAGTCAACTTCTGAAATTAATGGTAAGCGTCCACTTAATACGTATATTCGATTAACGTAAATGCGGCGTTATATATATACGTGTACATATATCTATCATTAATGCACTGCGGAGATTCGCGTGTATATCAGCTTCATAAAATTTGTTCCGGTCATTTCTGAGTTCGTAATTATGAAAAGCGTTTTCTTTTATCGCCAGAAGATATTAACACTGCAAGGAGGAACTTGGAAAACCAGGGAAACACCTTCAATCAGATTCCAATAACTAAGGATGTCTCCAACATCCCCTTCAAGCACATAGACATCCACTCGTTCTTTTCTGATAGAAACGAGGTGGTGGAGAAGGCTCTGAAAGATTGCCAGGACAGCTTGATCAACGAGGAGGAAAAGGATCTAGCTGGTAGTTGGCTACTGACTGAGTAAGAAGCTTCTGCTATGAATTTTCTTGGGGTATTGGGACAATTGTTTAGGAACAATTGCTTGCAGAATAAGTTTGTGGGACATTGAGAAGGAGAGACTAGTACTACTCACTAAGAAAGCAATTTATTCAATAAAATATGATTTCATTTCGTTAAAAATACTAGAGTACAATCGAATACCACTGTCACAGATTGACACCCTAGTCTCTGGTGAACTAATCTATCCACCTGCATCCTTAGCCCCGTAAGTATCACACGATTTCTCTTAGAAAAAACACAGCTTTACAATTCTGCAAAGTGTCATAGTGTCCTGAATATCATCGTATCAATTTCCGTCTACAGTCACGCTATTCTAATAGGCGCGCGTAATCATCGAATGAATTTTTTTCATGCGATCATTCTGTACCGAAGTTTCAAGGACATCGATGTCTTTCAAAATGGAACCTCGTATTTTTTTTCGACGATATTCTTGCATAACGTAAAAAACGAATTCGACGAGCACAATAACCATACGATTCCGATCAATTGATCTCGAGGTACTCGTGTCCGTAAGCTTGAACTACCCTATCTTTAACTCAAGATAAATTGATCAGAATGATATGGTTATCGAGGTCGTTGAATTCGTGTCTTCATGCTCTATATAGATAGCGAAAAAATATTTAGAATGTCGCTAAAAAGAAAATTCCGATGACCTTGAGATTTCACGGAAGGACGACCTTGAAAGAAAATTCTTTTCGCGGTAACGCGGGTCTATTGAAACAGTGTACTTCAGGCTGGTGAAGATTTTTATGTAATAACAAATAAGGCAGATATTCAAGTGATACTGTCTAATACATTTACGAATAATTTGACGATTTCTAGACGATTAAGTGGATTGGCAGAGGGTGTGTCTTCGATATTTCATTGCGCAGTCCGTCAAGAGTGGTCGACACTTACCTCTTGCGCCGGTCTTGCACAATTCGAGTCTAGGTATTTGTTACAGGAAGTCGAGAGCCCAACTTCTTTTAATCAACAGCTTATTCTTTGCACTATTTACTTTTCAGTTTGGTAGTGTTAATGATCTCCTTTATAGAGCACACACACACACACACACACACACACATTCCTATTTTGCACTAGACCCGCCTCTCCATTGCAGCAATTGGTGTTTTAGCTACGTATAGTTCCTTAGAGAAACACACATTTACGTTTACGCTTAATTCGGACTAATGCATCAGCAAATAATGTAGCGCACATTTTAATGTGGTTCGGTGTGAGTAGTGGATCACGTCCAATGAATCGCATCCTCGTTTACATCGTTTTACAATTACCTGTTTAGGAAAAGGTCAATGTATGGAGTAAGACTGTTGTGGAACAAGGGCGATCCGTTGCCATTGACCAAAAAATGGAACCCGTTCGCGAAAAACATACCGTGGCTCACGTATTCTAGTCATCCATTGTTTTGGTACAAAGGTATGGTATTTCGTGCACTGATCCGATCTACTTCGTACAAATTGTGTTCAACGGTTTTTCGCAGGATCCGAAGCAGAGAAGGCGAAGTTCGACGTCGAGGGTTTGCACTCGACGATACTAACATTATTGCCAGTAGAATCCAGAGTGAAAACTGGCTCCATCGTCATAGAAAATTACTTTGGTCTAGGTGCTCTGGTCCACAATAGAAACGGATTAGGCTTCTTCAAGATCCGGGGCAAAGTTAGCTTTTAATGGTTACGTTCACCAGGAATTCCACATTCGTCTCTTCAAGTTTTCCTAAAGATTTCTATTTCGATTCTCAAAGTATATCTATTTCGACAGTCCACAGTATTGTTCGTACGAGGGAATATCAAATCTCCTCGGTGGTATCGTGGTATGTAAACGTAATTTAATTTATCAGTCTATTCTACATTGTTACGAGACTTCTGAATTATTAAACAAGAAAAAAGAAGAAGCAGGAACCATGTATGTTCTCCGTTTACGATGATATTGTAAATCTTCTCTACGTATACATGCGGAATCTAGATGTATATGTATTTTTACTGTACCTGGCTGATAGAAAACTTTACGATAAGTTTACACATCGTTTTAGAATAATTACTGTATCTTCTACGTATCAAACTGAATTTTATAGTTCTACACTATAAAAATTGTGATTTTAATCTTGCTTATATAATAATAAAGCAGAAAGTTCTAACGAAGAATCACAGTTATTCACTTCCGTCTGTAAGTCCAAAGGAGTTTAGTCTGTTTCGATTTAAGTCCAAACTTTAGTTGCTGCTTCTACCCACAGATGGAGGTACCAGTGCTATAAAGGATCCGTGGTGGTGGTGGATCCAATCCAAACCCGTTTCGTAGCATTTCGCGGGCTAAACACAGAGGTTAACTCGACGCGTTTCTGATTTAATGTTTATTGAGATCAGGTGAGAGAAGTTCGACGTTGTTCAATTTAAAGCGAATGCAACCAAACCAACATTCGGCCGGTGACTGCTCAGTTGGAGATTATGTTTCGCGACTGGAACCGTGGTACTTAATTAGGGTTGCACGAAGGATCCTCTTGCCGAGTAAATGGCTGTGATGGACAGTGGAAATTCCGCTTCCGGTGACCACACCTTCGCTAAAAATGTAGATGCAACCCCGAGAGCCGAACGGGTAAGTTCCCTTTAAATTCCATCTTTCATGTTTGCTCTAATACTACTGGTAATTACATGAAATTGGGAGACATCTCTTAGTTTAGCCAAACAAAAAACAGTGTAATCTTCTGTTGCACACTTATTGCAGAGAGTCACCAGAGGGTCCAGACAGAGGGCAGTGGACAGTGTGACCAAGAAGTTTCTCAGGAACTTTGACCCAGAGCACAGCGAAAGGGAGAAGCGTAAGCTCCACAGAAGACTATACCAGGGTCACAAGAGACATGCATTGTACGATGATAATGGGATCTATATACAGACAGGAGATGACCTGTGTGACTGTATGAACCTGAATTGTGCAGGTTGTCACTTCCCCTGCAGCAAGTGCTCCTCCACCAAATGTGGTCATGACTGCAGGTCTGTATCACACGACTGTCCTGTGGTTAACCGATCTATGTTGCTCATTGCTAATAAACTTGCCAGGATCAACCGCAAGTGGACCTATGATTCCATTGAGAATGAAGGCAGTGACCTAGTGATAAAGAATCCTCTATTAAAAGAGACCTGAGAGGTCCAAGCAATTTTCAGACTAGCTGTGTGGTTCGAGGGCTCTGTTCCTTCAACAAAAAACTATATCTCTAAGTTAAGATCTCTATTAGATTAGACACGACGGAATGTCGTTTGAATGTGTAAAAAGTAATAAAGTTATACAAGCGTTTATTCGCATTGTTTCCTCGCCGGTCCCCGGAACTCTCTGAAGCACCTCGAGGACCGCTCGAGGGGGCCATTGAACTTGCTAATCGGTAGAATGTAGACGGGTAGGCCGAAGGACGAGTAATTGGAAGAGGTTGCTGGAGGGGACAGGCGGAATCGTCGCGGGCAGAGAAGAAACAACGAAAACCTTAGAGGAGTCCGTGTGCACCGGCACACACCTAACCGCCTATTGATTTTCCCCGGCACTTTTGCCGTAGTGCGCACCCATCTATCGCGCATACAGGTACACACCCACACGCCGGGCTGTGGGGAGAGCACACGGACACTCGCCACCCTCGGATCGAGTGGGGTGAGCCCCGGTGCGGAGGGCGTGCGCCTCGTTTCCCTTCGAAATCATCGTCAAAGTTCACGCAACCGAGTGCACGGCCAGCGAGCGGTAGGCAGCACCGAGTATGCTGATCCTGTGGTCGCTGAAAATCGAGCGCAACCTCCGTCGATCGATCCGTTAATTAACCATAGTGCGCGCCGATACGTTTAACGACCCGCCGGTCTCTGCCTGCCTGCTTGCCTGTCAGCGTGTCGTCCACGTTTCCATCGAGAGGCGACCAGGTGTTGTCGTTGTCCTGACCGCCCGGCTCGCCGTCGTCCTGCTACCTTGTGAACCCTGGCCAGTGACTCTTGCGCCACGAGATCCAATTGCATCGGCAAACGAGGTTGTGAACCTCTCGAAGACCTGCCAGGTTCATAAGTACACCTGGTGATCAAGGAGGAGGATCTCGAGGAGGATCGGGCACTATGCCAACCTGAAAATAGACCCTGTGTCTTCGACCTCGTGAGCACCTCGAGAGGACACTTTCCAACAGACACGTACACACACGCATACTTCCGCAGCTGGTGATTGTTAAGAATCGTCCTGGGACCAGTGCAGCCTATTGTTTCTTTGAGATAGGAGGGCTACGGTCGACGATCGCTTCGGGACTTTTGCTAATATTTTTCCATCGCTGTTGGAGTACGTCGTGGACCAGCTGCTGGTGACTTTCCGGGTATAGTACCTTTTGTTCCAAGGAGGTTTCGTCGGACGCAGGAAAAACAAGGACACAGAGAACAGGTTCGGAGACACGCTTTATCGTTCGCAGAGCCTCCGCATCATCGCGGGTCAACGCTATCGTGATCTTATCGCTTCACGAGACTCGTGACGCGTCTACCTTTAACCGTGGTCGTGGTTCCGAATTTCTTGTCAGTGCTGTCTCTCTCTCTCTCTCTCTTTCTCTTTCTCCCTCTCTTCCTCACTCCGTCTCTTCTCGCTCCACTGTTACCCTGGCTGTGTCTCTTTCGCGCTCTCTCTTTCCCTATCTGCCGACTATACTGCCCCCACCCCTCCCTTTTTTACTTTTCAATGAGCCGTGTCGTTAACCGCGACCTGGTCACCACGTGAAACCTTGCCCTCGGGGTCCGGCAGCCGGGTCAACTCAGACCCCTGCACCGAACGAAACAATTCGATGGTAGTTTTTCTCGAAATCTGCGCCGGACGCGTTTAAATTGCAAAGTGATTCGAACGTTTGTATTGAAATTGGAAATATTATTCGTGAAAGCAGAAATACTTTTAGAAATCGACTTCCGCTGTAGGAATTTTTCGACGAAGAACTCGTCGGCGAACGTAAACTGAGAATTCTGAAACCGTGTCGGTTGGACAGTCGAACAGTTTCAATTTAATTATTGTTCGTCAATTGTTCGCGATAACGGACGATTTTATTTTTCTTCGGCGTTGTTGCCGGCGCGGCTTGTCGAATTCGGCACTGTGTCTCGATTCGATGATTTCGGTTGGCGTTACAATTGCCACGTGGTTGCCGGCCTCCGCGTCGATACGTTCCATTGAGAAAAGCCCGGAGTACACGCTGATCCGCATCCTCTGTCGAGTACTCGATAATAGCAGTTACTCGAATCTGTATTGCTTCCTCGTTTCGTTTGTTTGCACGCTTTGCCCGTCCCTCGCGCCGCCCCCACTATTCCGGCCCTCGCTTTTTCAGTCAGGTTTCCGATTATTTTCGCCTTTGCATCGGCACTGTCTCGCTTTCTCTCTCTCTCTGTCTCTTTCCCGCGAGCGTGGGCGATCCGTTGTTCGACTATAACAAGGGGCACTCTTTCTAACATCACTTGTTGAATAGCGGCGTACAGGCCGCTCCACAAAATTAATACCGAATTCTGTAACGAGATTCTTGGATCACTCGAAAAAAAAAACACTCAAACCGGGTATGTAAAACCAAAAACAAAGCAATTTATTTCAACGATATGTAAACAATTGAAAATCGCGTTTCTCAAAACAGCGTGTTACTCTAGAATCGTAAACAAGCCGCATTCACAGTTTTATTTCGTGAAGCCGTCGTTGCCGGTGCTCGGGTCTACTTCGACCTAGCCAATATTTACGGCTTGCTTTGCAAGTAGATGTACACGTGGTCAGATAAATATGTCACGGGGGTGAAAAATCGCATACTTGGTCGAGGGATGAAAAAGGTATATTATTTTGGGGATTCGAGGATTTTCTTCTCCATAGATATACGCGAACAGCCGGGATATGTAATGAGAAGTAAATTGACACCTCTTAGCGGCAACCTTTCGCCTCGTGGCCGCCCACGAGTCGAGCGCGTTATTTGCACGCGTGGTCAGTGTGGGATTATGTATATGTCGCAGGGGTAGTCCCGCAGTGGTCCGGAGGACCTCGCAGAAGGTGGCCCGAGCGACGGGGGTGCGTTTAGGACCGTGGTGACGACGGCAGATGTCAGGATGCCGGAGCAGAGCAACGATTACCGCGTGGTGGTTTTCGGCGCGGGCGGCGTCGGCAAGAGCTCCCTCGTCCTCCGTTTCGTGAGAGGAACCTTCCGCGAGTCCTACATACCCACCATCGAGGACACTTACAGACAGGTGAGCCCCATCTCAATTTAATAAAAAGAGCTGCTGTCATCCTTCGATAAACTACTGTCTTGCCACGGAACCTCCTCGTGGACCATTCTAGACGTATGTCGAATTATATAAAATATGAGAAGGCGCTTTCGGAATTTTTTACAGCGTAATTCGTTACTAGATAATTTTTATTTTTTTTTACCGTGTTATTACCACAATATGGACCAATTGTTTGCCAAATGTCAGCACGATAGGATTCTTTTTTCAAAAGTTATTAATATATTTGTGGAGGCGTATGCTAATTTCACGCTTTCCGATTTTTTTGCGATGCAACCGTTTGACAGATCATTTTCATTTTGTTTACCGTATTGGTGGGACAGTGTGGACCAGTTGCACGGAAAATTTGAGCTCGGTCGGATACTTCTTTGAGAAGTTATCAACGAATTTGCGTGGACACCGATTTCGGTGCCTCGAGTTCTCGCCGAATATGATCTATAACGTTCGACGTTCGAACGACGATTCTACGAGGCCTTTTTGGGGGGGAGGGGTGGATCGTGTCGGGCCGATAATTAACGGAACAAGTAGCGGGGAATTGGATCGGACAGGCGGCGCAAGTAGCACACGATATGTATACAACACCGGTAATAGATTCCGTGGATCAGATAAGCGAGGCATAGCGTGACGCAAACCGTTCTGACATTTCATCGATGATTCACGCATGATGCAAAATGATCGGCGTATTTCCCGCCCGTTTCCTCCCCCTGTTAATCGCCGATCCGTTCATTATCGCGAGCGTAACGAAGGCCGGCCGGATCTTGGCGAACGATATTTTCAGTTTCTTCTAATCCCTCTGTTTGCGGTCGAGATTGTGTGTGCCGGTCCTCGATAAGGAGGGCTCGAACAGTCGATATCGGAGTCATTTAAATACATTTCGCTTGCAAATTGCCCCTCCCCCGCAGGCTTGCATCGATTAAGCCGAGACCCGAGCGGAGATTCGAGTTCGTTGACGGGGAAGAATGTCGATACGCGTTTTACAACGTTGCCACCGAATCGACGAACACGAGATCGACTGCTCTACAGATAAGAAAATCTTACGCCTTCCGTCGCCTTTTTGTTTGGCCGAGGGTGTCTCGGAAAGTTACGGTGTGTTTCTGTTTGTTTCACTGATCGTATCCGAGAGAGACAAAGAGTACAGTAATTTGTACCTAATTCGCGCTTGAAATGAGCACAAAAATGGATAATTTAGGAAAAGGAGTTTTTATAGTTATTTTTTATTATGCGTATTATGTATATTATGTATATATTATGATTGTCAACAACTACAAAAACGAGATGCAAAGCTCGAATAATCGTATCTCCTCTTCCCAAATTGTCCATTTTTGTGCGCAATCTGAGCGCGAATTAGGGAGAAATTACTGTATTTCTGTCTTCGACTATACCTAAAAAGATGAAGACTGCTTCTGTTTGCTTAATCAGAGAGAGAGAGAGAGAGAGAGAGAGAGAGAGAGAGAGAGAGCGTCGTGTCTATTCGTTCGAGTGCATCCAATGATGAAAAACAGTTTCCGTTTGTACGTCTTATTTCGTGCGTCAGGAAAAATTACGAGAGCAGTAGAACGATGCTGACCACGTTGCTAATAGGTCTATTCGAGTGTCTGACACTGTTTAACGGAGTTTGAGGGACAGGAAAAGGTACCGACCAGGTCACCGTTCTATGCGGGCTGGTTTCAGGTGATCAGCTGCAACAAGAACATTTGCACGCTTCAAATTACGGACACGACCGGGTCGCACCAGTTCCCAGCGATGCAACGGCTCTCCATAAGCAAGGGTGACGCGTTCATCCTGGTGTACTCGGTCTGCTCGCGGCAAAGCCTCGAAGAGCTACGGCCCATCTGGTCCATCATCAGAGAGCTCAAGGGACAGGATGTGTCGCAGATACCTATAATGCTGGTAAGACCACCGATATTTTTTCGCCAATACCCGTCGCTGCTATCTCTACGGGCTTTCCTTGACCGTGACACATCGCCTTCGTCCTCCAAACCGACCTCTTCCCTTATCAATGCCTTTCGACAAACCCGATATTGCAACATCGCGGATATAATAGGGTTACGGGTCCATTTGTATTGCTGTAACTTCGTAAAGAAAAATCGTAGGATGGTCTACCCTACGTCGTTTCAAAGAGGAAGCTTCCCTCTTTAAAGTCACTTAATAATAAATTTCAGAAAAAAATTTCTCAGAGCCCGGAACTTTTTTTAAGATTTCCAAAATTTGATCGAGACCTTTGAGATCTTCGAAATATTGTAAACACGTAACAAAAAATCGCACGACCGTCTATCTTAGAGCGTTTCGAGGAGGAAACTACCCTCTATAAAGTTATTCAAGAATGAATCGCAGAAGAAATTATTTGTGCTTCATAGAATTTGTTGAATTCGCAATATTCGTCGAACAACGACCAATTGTAGTATTTTACCCCGTTCCGTGGTATAACAATTTTTTTTTAATCGCTTCGATCAGTGGCTGCGAAAGGGGAGGCTTTGCCCTTTGAAACGAGCCCGCGTAGATTGCCCTACGATTTTTTTTCACGGAGCTGCAACAGTTCGAATATCGACGATGCACCGAACATTGACTTCCTTTTCCCGGTTCTGTCGTCAGGTGGGGAACAAATGCGACGAGAGCCCGACGGTGCGCGAGGTGTCGATGAGCGAGGGTGCGGCGGAAGCTGCAAATTGGGGCTGCGGGTTCCTCGAGACCTCCGCGAAGACGAACCACAACGTGAACGCCCTGTTCCGGGACCTGCTGATGCTCGAGAAGAACCGGGCGGTCTCGTTGCAGCCGGTGCAGAGCAACAACGCGATCAGCCTCAAGGAGAAATGCACCGTGATGTAATCGAGCTCGAGGATCATCCTCCAACCCCCCTTTCAACCCTTCTGCTCCGTCGCGTCGCACAAATATCGAATGTTCCTTCTCCCGTTTCATCGACTTCATTTCTCCGATCTTTTCACGGCCCTGGATTCGATGCATTTTTTCTACGAGGCACATTAGTTCGTCAAACAATCCGAGAATCAACCGAAATATATTTGTTGGGACCACCCGGTATATATAGCCCGCGGCGATTTCTCTTTCTTTTCCCGGCGGATCTCCCGAATTTTCTCTGCGCGACGGAAGCTCGACGCGGGAGAGCAGAAGAATCGATGACACGGACACAACACATACACCGTCACATCTACACAGATCTATGCACACATACACGTACACACATACGCACACAAATAATACACACACGGAGAGACGCGCGCGCGTGCAAACGAGAAACGAAGAAAAATTAGATAAAAAGTTGTTACGAGATTGGTTTTTGTTGAATAGTTGTAAGGTTTTTGTAACGACGCTAATTAGAGTTTATTAATCGTGGGTTACACTGGCGCACACGTATACATACACAGCCCGAGAGGAGGCGTACACACATACGCAACACGGACGGTATACACGCACACGATTAATTCGCTATGTACACGAGTTCATTAGGCACTCGCGTTGACCCAGATTTTTTAGTGCTTTCTCCTTTTTTCCCTCCGGTTTCGTTTTTTTTTCGCCCCCCACCTCTCTTATACTCCTCCACTGTGTTGTGCACACGTAGACCGCAAGCGTGTTTTAGTGTTCACGTGGAGATGCTAATTAGAGGAACTCTCTCCCCCTCTCTCGCAAAGCTCTCCACGTTTTTCCCAGCGGCGCGGGAAATTTCCCGCTTTGCGTCTCGAGCGCGTCGTGATCGGCCCCGAACAAAGTACAAACGATTCCACGCACGGGATCCAGAACGTTAACGACCGTATCCGCTGAGATTGCGCCGACCCGGACGCGCTCGAGACCGTATAGATCACGCTCGGGCGCTGTTCCGGCTCTATCGGAATCGGGAGCAACGAAGCCACGCCTACTCCGGGCCGCACAGCGAAGCCCCGCCTCCCTTGGGACAGTTGCCCGCGCCTGAGCCGTACCAGCGGTACTTGCGGGCCACTTTAAACTGCTGTAACTTCGCGAACAAAAATCGTACGATAGCGTACCCGGAGTCGTTTTATAGAGAAAACTTCGCTCTATAAATCCACCGTAAACGAAACCCACGGAAAAATTTGTCAGGCTCCACAGAGTCGTTCGAACTTGTAGGATAAATTTGGGAAAAACAAGCTTAGGTTTTTCACTCCGTTTTGTAGTATAGGAAGGTCTCGTGAGAAGATCGATTAGGGGCTGTGAATGCGGAGACTTCGACAGTTATAATGGGCCCAGGTTGATCGCTGTACGATTTTTCTTCGCGGAGTTACGGTCGTTCGAAGATCAACGATATTTTGATCCTTTAATTTTGTGTGTAGAAGAATGAAATTCTGTTTGGATTCGCATGACGCACAAGTGCACCCGCATGTGCCATTTTTACGGTCGGCCGTCAGCTTGAAGCTTTTCCCGCCACCGGAAGGAACCACGTCGCGAGACAGGTTTCTTGGTACCCGAAGGTCGAGCCGCGATTGGCCAGAGGCTGCGACGCTGGCAGCGACCTCTGCGCAGCGGTTCTCAGCTGTGTTTTAATTGCGAATCTTCCCCCCTCCCCCACGGTATTTTAGACGATCGATCGGAGCCCCGAGAGCTAATTTTAACCGCGGCACCCAGTCCTTAGCCGGCTCCGGCGAGCTGAGAACCCCTGCGCTCCGGCGGGCATTTTAAAGGACACACCGTGCTGCTTGCACCGTCACGAACCGCGACCGTATAGCGTTTAAGGAACGAATTTTGAAATGTCGGATGCGTTCGCCGATCGAACACACAAACTCGTACCGTCGATATTAAACGATTCGATTAGAGACCACGCGCATCACCGTGTAATACGCCACTGTTACTACGATTGTTAACCGTTGTTGACGAACCATCGGACGCGCTGCGCAGCGCCGGTTCGGACAGAGAACACACGGGGCACACAGGTGCCGTTCCGCGCAACGTTGTTGATTACACGAAGGCAGATCGTTCACTATAGCGAATAGATTACGTGCGTGCGTGCGTGCGCCGCCGCCGATTCGAGGGCCGGTTTCATCGTCCAGGTCCCCGGCCACTCCGCTGGACCAGTACGGTAGCCCCTCGTTCGATGCGCCGGCCAATACGAAGCGTACAACGAGGGTGTACCGCACTCGTGCGACCAGTCGAGAACCTACTTCACACGGAATTGTATTAGATAGTACAATGAATGATTTAATCACTAGCGAGAGATTGTATATAAGGTTTTTGTACGTTCAGCGTTTGTTCGGACCGCTTGTTTGGTTTTTTCGTGCCGAAATCGGCGGGAGAGCTCCTCCCCCCGGACGAGTCAATTCCCCCCGACAACCTGATGCATGCGAAAACACACACACCCACATACACACACGGCACACGTGTACGCCCGCTTGCCTGTGTACGATTGTATGTACATATACGGTGCTCACTGTTAAACGTATATTTAGACGCAAGGTTAAACGAAGAGTCTAGTCAAAGGGACGCCGGAGATCCGACCTTATGAAATCGACCCTCGACAAGCGTAAAAAGAAAGGCCGGCTGAGAGAAAGAGACGAAGCGAGAGAGAGATGCGATGTTACTTACTTTACACGGACACACACACATACACACGCGTTCGGCATCGACGGAACAGATACGGCGGCGTCGAGATCTCGACGATGTCCTCGTACGGAATCGCGGCACGGCTGGACCGCACGATAAACAAATTTAATTCTCCAGCCGCGCCACGATTCCCAGCCGAAAAGGAAAAACCGGCAGATCCGTTCCGCCGACGCGGCGCAGTGACACGCGCACAGGGTGTGAGTGAGTGAGCGTGCGAATGCGAGAGATATTTACCAGTACACGGGCGAGTGAGAAAATTTACCAAAAGAACGAAAAAAAGAAAAAAAAGAAGAACTGTATCCTCTGATTTTTTCGGGGCCAATCAGTGTGTGACCAACACATATGAAACGCGAGCTTCTTCTTCCGCGCGACGGTAGGTCGACTTCCGTTCCTTTCGCGTGTTTTTCTGCGGGCCTCCGCGATCATTTGTTTACAGACTCGATCCTCGACCAATCGCGCGACCCTCGATGCGACACCGCCCACTCCCCCAAGCCCCGCCCCCGTTCTCGTATTTTCGACGATTCTATCCCGACTTTGGTACGCACGCCACTGACAGAAAGTCCGGAGGCCAACGTGGACAGAGAAACGGAAACCCATTCTCCACGCACAAACGATACATTTCTTTTTTACGCCGCCCGAAAACCCAGCGAAACACGGCATGCCTCTCTGCAACGCGTTGTACGGGACCGGCGTAGCGCACCTGGAAAGGCGGACGCGGCTCCGCGGGCCCGTCTCATTGGTCCTCCGCTTATCCCCACTGCTAGTCACCCGCTCGTTAACACGCCCACGGTCGAGAAGGAGGCGCGCTCGGTCGGTAAAGTGGGCCCGGAGCTCGACCGGCATCCCGAAACTCGGACTTTCTGTCGATTGCGTGTTTTTAGATACGATTTTCGAGCGTCCTCTCTGCGCTGAGAATGAGAGAGAGAGTCAGCTTTGTTTAGCCCGCGGTCCCGGGTGTCGCGGTCCTCGAGCGGTCGATTCGTTCGCGCGCGAACGCCGCCGATATCGAAGATATTTATTTGTTCCGCCGCGCGATCGACCGCGCGTGCGCGATGGATCGGCGACCGGCAAGCGTGTTTACATCGAGAGCACAATTTTTTAATCGCGTTGTGGATAGCCACGGCACGCACGACCACCACGATGGATCTCGATCGACATTACGCCCCCGCCCCCACGCAGCCCTAATCATTTGTCCCGCGGCGAATGAACACCGTCCGGTGTCCACACTTTGATATTTCGACGATCGATCGGGGCGACTGGTGCTCGAGGACGAAGCCCGGAAACCACTAAAAAAAATCCAGGAAATAAAAATACGCTAAAATAGTCGAGAATCGTAGGATCGGTTTTTCGTCCGGGAAAAATCGAGAAATTCCTTGTGTACACGGAACTTCGTTTCTGTAGCGTAGCCGCTCTAAAAGAACATTCATGTATTAATCGTCGCGTGACTCTAGCGTCTCGAATAGCCGAGGGATGATGATCCAAGAAAAGCGGTGCAGAATCGGGCGGCGGTCGGTGCTGGATCGATCCAGGATCGGATCCCGCCGTTAGTCGCCCAAGATTTTCTCCTCGAAAATTATACTACTTATCTGGCAGTAGCGTGTATAGGCCCTCCGTATATCGTCTAGGGAAGAAAATTAGACTTGTCTATTCTAGGAAAAATGGGGGAAGCCCAGCGATCGATGATCTCGTCCTCGAGCAAGCAGGTTTCCGGTCGAAAATACACGAAGGTCGTCCGTGCCAAAAATTCCGTTGTCCGTTATATTTATGGAGTTTACTTAGGCTTAAGCTTGTTGTTAAGTGATCGATCGATTTTCGGAAACACCACCACAACCACCACCACCACCACCACCGTATCAACGCACCACCGTTCCTCCGAGCAACGTTCGTTCTCTCGAGAGGGAGAAACAAAAGGGTTTCGCGAAACGAACGATCACGAGAAAGAGAGAGAGAGAGAGAGAAGAAGAAGAAGAACAAGAAAAAGAAAAAAAGGAGGAGGAGAGAGAGAGAGAAGCATGCTTTGTTGTCGCACCTCGCGCTTCCTGCGGAAAATCGATGTGTAAAGGGATCTTTTAAGGACTATAGGGACTTTGAAATGCGAGCGTGCCCAGACGCGGGGGTCGGGGGAACCGAGGAAAGAGAGAACGCGAGGAGGAGAGAAGAAGCCCTTCGGTGAATCGGGTCCGCCGAATATTAACAGTAGCGTCGTAGGAAATTTGTAACGTATCTCGAACTTATCAACGAAAAGTACCATATCAATAACTATATCATGCTATCCGCGCGCACGCCGCACCATCCATTGACTCTCAGGTGTCTCTCTCGAACGTGTAAAAAGGAAAGCTCGACTCGGGGCTCGATCAAACGAAGGGGCGCGCGCTCTCGGGTCTCTTCCTCCCCCGTTTTTGATCGCGCTCGTCCACGTAGTGAAACGAAGTGAATCACATATCATGGCTGCTGGTTGGCGCGCGTTCTCCGGCCCCGCGTTTTCCCGGCCGCGCGCATCATTCAGCGCGCGGCCGGGAAACGGCGCCGGAAGCGGACGCGCGCGTTGTTCGAATTATAAACGACGGCGGATAGAGCGGAGAACACGAGAACCGAATGACGACCGATTTATTGTTACGACGGCTCGTTCATTATTATCCACTCAGAACAAATCGTTAACCGGCTACGAATCTGTACTCGTGAAAGATAAAACTGCGAAATTATACAATCTTGATTCTTGACCACTGGCGCCTGGCTCTTTAATCGTGCACCCTTCCACCTCCCTCCTGCGACACGATGATCGTTCTCATCGAAATTCGGGCGATCCGTGTAACGCGCCGCGATTTAAAATTCCGTTCGCAACAATATCGATCGGCTCGTGCGGGAAGTGTCGAGACCAGAATCCCTCGACGGAGGAGGCCTAGCGGCGTCCTCCAGGAGGAGTGGCGGGAACCGAAGGCAAACATCGGCGAACCAATCGACGGGAAAGGGTGGTCCGGTGGATGTTTGTCTTGTTGCCGGTCCGGGGGGATGCTGGAGGCACGTAGCCCGTACCACGGAGCCAATCGTCGCGAAGAATGTCCGAATCACTGCCGGATGGAGACCGCGGAGATTTCTTTCGCCGAGGGAAGACAGGCTGCCGCTCAGTCGGCCGCCAAGGATCGCGAAAACGATAATCCCCCTTGTCCGCAGCTTAGGGGATCGCGACTCTAACCGTTAGACATTGTAAATCCGATCTTTATCTATCTACTGAATAAATTTCGCGAGCTCTGATCTCGTTATACGCGGCCGGTGATCGCTAAGACCTTACTGAGACCTATCCGAGTCTACCAAAAATCGTCGAAGTCCCTTCAGGGAATCGCGGCGATGATTCCGGAGGTAGCCTAAACGCTGGTACCCAGTGCGCGGAGGAGGATGTTGCGGGGCAAGAGCAGAAGCAAGCCGGAGAACGAGGACGAAGAGGACGGTCAGACGAAGCAGAGGAGGCCCAAGTGCGCCAGGTGTCGGAACCACGGGTTGATCTCGTGGCTCAGGGGCCACAAGAGGGAATGCCGGTACCGGGACTGTCTGTGCCCCAAGTGTTCCCTGATCGCGGAGAGGCAGAGGGTGATGGCGGCTCAGGTAAGCTCCTTTCTTCTCTTCCGGTTCATTTCTCCCGTCCAGTCCCGAGGGTATTCTCGCATTTCGCTCCGGTCGATCGTTCAGGTTCAGTAACATTTCGGTGAATCAACGCGAATCAAGCGGCAAGAGGAAAGGTCATTTGAGAGGGTCCCCTCCGATATTTAATCATCCTCGCGTTGAATTCATTAACCGGTGAATCGCGTCGATGATTTTGCCATCGTTCCCCCCGACGGAGACACCGGAGGGGGGGATGATCCGGTTTCATTCGACGTACTTGTGCCACTCGATCTTGTTTTCTTCCGTGTACCGACGCGGCGGGGACGGGGGAATTAAATCCATTAACGCGCGGTGTTGCGTTTCATTTCTGTTTGCGCGGGCATTATGACACCCGATACCCTGCCCACACCGCTTCCGTCACGGTCGATGAAAACGCGGCGATTCCCTACGATCGGGGAACCCCTTGGATGCACTTGGTCCAGTCAAAATATTTTCGAATAGTCTTTGTAGTTAGCTCCTAGAAGAGTATTTAACATCCCTAAGTAGAAGAAGCCACTGAATCGTCGTTAAAAGCCCTCTCAACTGGGTCCTAAAAGAATGCATTAAAGTCTCCCTAATTGACCCTCAGCTTGGAAACTAAAATGGACAATTTGGGAAGAGAGGAGATACGATATAATATAATAATATTATTATTATATAATAGAATTACGATATAATGTAACTATAGAATCGAGTCGCAAGGCTCGAATAAAAAAATTGTCCATTTTTATTTCCAACACGGGGTCGATTAGGGAGAATTTTCTGCACCTGTCAGGCTAATTTAGATTTCGTGCTAATAATATTCGTGGCAATAATATTCTCACAGGAACATTTTGAGCAGCTCAGGAACCGTGAAACGAAAATTCACGAGCTTCCGACTATTTTCTTAATTCTGGCGNCCCTCAGCTTGGAAACTAAAATGGACAATTTGGGAAGAGGAGGAACGATTATTCCCAGTCTTGTGGCTCGTTTTTTCTAGTTATTGACAATCGGTGACTACAAATATCGTGTCTCCACTCCCGAAATTATCCATTTTTGTGTACAAGCTGAGCGTCAATTAGGGAGAATTTACTGTACTCAAAACCCCCAGAGACAAGAACCCGTTGAATCCTCTTTCGAGGACAGTCCTCTTGACAAGGTCCTAGGGAACGAAAATTGAATCCCAAGTAACCCTGTCGAGACTTCAGCTTCTTTAGACCGACCTCCCCTCTTGACGGTCAAAGCCCAGTCGATCTTCGTCCATTATTCGGTCGTAAAGTCTAAAAGTGGCCGGACAGGGTCACGATCGATGATTCCCCCCCGACAAAGTGAAACGATTCCGTGGGTGGTCCGGCCGGGAATAACGTGCCAAATGGTCCCATATGTATCTCTATTGACGTTTCCCGCTGGGCAAGCACGTGTACATTCAGCGGGATACACGTTTCTAAATCAGAACCGAAACCGCGGTGACCGATCCGTTCGTATTCCGCTCGAATTGTATCCTCGTTGTTTGCGGGACAAGGTGGCACTGAAGAGGCAACAGGCCGCCGAGGACGCCATTGCCCTGAAAATGGCCAAGGTGGCGACCGGTCAGAAGCTGAACCGGCTGCCGCCGGGCAAGATCTTCGGCATGGCGGTCACCGAGCCTAAGTCGTCGACAGACACCGAGAAACAAAGCCAAGTGTCTTCTCCCAAGGAGGCTCAACAGACGACCGACGATCCGAAGAAGGAGGACTCCCCTAGGGTCCAGGATCAGGAACCACCTCCGGTGGGTACCACGACCTTCGGTCACCCATAACTTTGTTCAAATTCATAAAAGTACCATCCTTGTTTGAACTGTGACGTTTGCACCTACAGTCGAAATATTTTCGCCGCCGACATTTCCCTTGTACGGTAAATTCTCTCAAATTGTCCCTCAGCTTGGGTACGAAAACAGACAATTTGAGAAGAGAAGATACGATCATTCGAGCCTCGTTTTTATAGTTATTGACGATCGGCAACTATTGTCAACAATTTGGGAGAATTTACTGTAGGACACCACCCTGGTGCCAGTGGGGAACGGAGTTAACCACTGCAGCGTAACGGTTTCTACCAACTTTCTTGACCTGTTCCAAACGTGTCTGCATTGTTTCGATCTGCAGCCTGCCAGCGAGAACCTGGCGAAGCTGAAGAGCCTGGTCTTCAGCGGCGGCAAACAAGAAGAAGCGAAAGAGGGCGGTGTGTCGCAGACCTCCGTGGACACTTTGGCCCGGCTGTTCCCCAACACGAAGCTCTCCGTGCTGCAACTGGTGCTGCAGAGGTGCGGCCAGGACCTGTTGAAGGCGATAGAGTACTTCGCCAGTGACAGCCTTGGCATCGGTTCAACCGCCTACGCTTCAGCTTTCCGGCCGCCGAGTCAGACCGTCAACGAGTCCCGTCCAGGCGATCCACTGGCCGGCTCCATGTTGGCGCCCATCTATTCGAACCTCTCCAGGAGCCTATACAGCGACAGTTACTGCGTGCTGAACATCATTCCGGACCAGTTCCCGAAGAGCATCATGGCGGACGCAGCCACCTGCGCCTCGTTGCCCGTCAAAGCCGGTCAGCACGACCAGGACAGCGTGGCTTTGAACGTTCAGTACAACAGCTACTTCAACGCCGGCCTGCAGCAACAGATCAGGGATCACGTTTACGCCCAGGTCACCGAGCACCTTCCGTCCAGGCCTGGGTTCCTGCATCTGCCGCCTATAATGCCCGGCATGCCCGCCTGCGTGCAACCCAACTGCACCCAGTGCGCTTACAAGTTTCCATGAAGCGGGACACGGACGAAAGTATACATATAACAACCGACGGGATATCTATAGGGCTACGTTAGCGTCATCCGCGGGTCTTGAATATTTCGTTTACGCGTTCTCGTTCTTCGTGGAAACATCGTTGTTATTTCGTATTCGACGTTGCTTCGGCGGCCAGTTTTATACTCTAAACACGACGACGGCGACGACCGGTCCGAAGGAACTACTGTGATTCTTGTTTGTAGACAAAAACCACCTGAATTGTGTCTGGAACGACCGCGCACACCTGTTAAGAACTTAACTGTCGGAGCGCGGCAGCGACCGGCCGGTAAAATTAGATCCGAACGTAAACAGCCGATGGCGCTGGCAAAGTTTCGCGGCAAGAAATCAGTCGGCAGTTTCCCGGTTCACGGCGGATCGATCGTAATGCCGAGCCGTTAGTGGCGTTATCATGTGTGAAATATCCACGTGCGCCTAACGAGCATCGCCGCTGATCGGTGCTCTGATATCAGCGGGGGGATTTCCGTGATCGGCAGACCTTAATCTTCAAAGTTCAGCGGGCGACCGAGCCGGGACAAGCGGAGCATGGTCCCGACGCGCATCACTTGCTCCACTGGCGGCCTTCCACTCTCTATCGATTGACCTTTGATCGTCGAGCGTGAAATAAAACCTGTTAGAATAAATCCCGGTGACCGTCAAACTCGCGGCGACCATTTTTATTGCGGCTCAAACTTCCAGCGACCGCCCACGGGAATTATCGATCTTCGCTTCGTTAGAGAAAAAAATGGTCTCTCGGACGTATGTACATTTGGGGATCGATGGTCAACGGCTTCTTGGTTGACCCCTTCTGCGGGTACAAAATATTTCACTGTGTGTAATCAATATTTTATTAACAGTTTCTAGGGGCAGAAAGAAATTGGGGCGGACGGCGTGACAACGCAAGTTTGACTACGTTTGAATAAGTTTGACTAAGTTTACCTACGTTTGACTAAGTCTGACTAAGTTGAACCGTTAATATTCTTCAACCTAGGAACTTGTCGGCCTCTGAACTTCGTGTAAAAAAATCTTACGACAGTTCTTAAATGAATTTTGAAAGAAATCAAGGGTCGACAGCCGTTCGATTCTTGCCAACCACCCAGTACGTCAGATACTGGGTTGTTCTTGAACTTACAGGCTACAGAAATAGTTCGGTTATATTTGCCCGTCGACGCTTGTGCATTCGAATTTCGAAAAGCGATTCCGCAGTTCGCGGAGAGTAACTTATTAATTTCTGAATGATTTCCCTACCGTCGAAAGGGTCAGCGGAAACGTGTAAACATCCGCGGTCTATTTATACGTTATTTACCGATAAATAACACCGGTCTCAAGGATACAGCCTCTTCTTTGCGAGAGATATATCTCCTTCCTTGGAAAAGCAGGAGGAAAGTTTCGCGGCTATTGCAGTCGCTGAGCTAATAGGGCAGCAGTAATCGAGTTAGGAAGATTCAATTGTCTGTATAAACAGCGAGAGGATATCGCCAGGCAACTGTCGATGCCCGGAAGCGGTATTCCATGGCCAGGAAAAACACGGTCTCCCTTGCCTCCCCCTTGGGAACGCCGCCAATCTGTCGTGCCCCGAATCGCGAGGATCCTGACGCCGTGCCGTGAAATCTAATTCGCTGCTCGAACCCGGGGATGTATTTATGTTGGTCTCTTTATTCAGTCGAAAGGTATAAAACGGAGAAATCCATCGGATTACACGAATTAGTTGTTCTTCTTTATTTTTGGTTCTTTCATAAAGATCTTCGAATAACAACACTTTTGGTACGCAATGCAATATGAATATACCAAAAATCATTCTAGCTCTCTCCCTCTCTCTCTCTCTGTCTCTTTCCTACGTTATAGTTTCAACAATATAACTAGTCCGCTGAACAATAGGCACGTCAGTTCCGCGTTGAAAGAAACAATTGTAAATGTGGCGTCACTACGTCGGATATCAATCTTTGCATACTGTCGGTATGCAACTACACAGGAAGTAGTCTCGTCTTTCCTTCGTCCTCGTTGCGAAAGAAATTATGTACAAGATTCCGATCATTCGTATGTACACATATCGGTTGTTACGAAACGAAAGTATTGCGCCTGGAAGTCCTCGTCGTTGCTCGCGACGTAAGTCGATTCAGAATCGTAGGTGCGGCTTGTTCTTGATCATATGTCTGTAACGATTTATTAAAACATTTAGGGGGTACTTAATAATAGATGATAGATTGTAATCCACACAGCTTATACGCACTTGTCCAAGTGTTCCCAGAACACCATCAATGCAGCCCTGTCCAAATGCCTTTTCGTCCTGCTCAGTTCGATTACAGTCACAGCCCATCTAGCCACGTTAGCATCCAGCCTCATCTCGTCGTACTTCAAATGAAACGCGCAGACTGTAACCAAAAGAAATAAGTGTTACACTACACATGCTACACTTTCAATCTTGTAGTGGTTATGTCAATATACTTTTTGAAAAAATTTCGACGGGATTGCCATCGAAGGGCCAACCCTTGAATTGCCAAGCTGGACCCATCACGAAGACGGCTACCACCCTTTCCCAGTCGGCGTTGGTAAGTTTCTGCGGGTTATCGACGACCCTGTATGGCACGGTGAGTCCCCCCTCTTTGCGACGTTGCAGAAGGACCTCGTTTTCCCTCTTGGAACCCTGCGCACGTTTTTCCTCGTTGCTGACGTACTTCAGGTCTTGGAGTATATCCTTCGAGTTGTACATCGTTATCAGCGACGTGTTCGCGCTAGGAATGATGATAATGGGCGTCCTGCTAGGTCGTTTGTTCTGTGCTGCTTGCTGTGGAGTTAGCTTAGCAGCGGAAGTGGGTAGCAAACCAGAACTGGGAGCGGTGGAAGGATTCGCAGGTGGTTTCCTGACTGCTGGGTTTGTGCCCTCTGTCACGGACTTCAAGGTCATGCCGTGATAAGTACCCATTGTGTCGATTTTGAACCCTTCGGTTTCCTCTTTCTGCCTGATGAACCTTTCCTGATCGTAACGATTGTACACGGCTGGCTGAGGCAGAGGACGCATCGGGGTCGACCTAGGGGTGACCATAGGCGTAGGAGCTGCAGGACCTTTCTGTCTGCCTTCTTCTCGAGCTTTGATGCTTTGAAGAATCGCGAATATATTTTTCGCGAATATTTTCCCGCTGCTCTGCAGAATGGTCGCGCGTGTTCTCCACTGCCTCTCCCTGGAGACTATGTCCTTCGTGTCATCGACATCCATCAGGATTACGCGCAAATCAGACCCCATTCCAATGTCATCGTTCTCTTTTATGGTTGTGCGTTTTTTGGCCAGACGTTTAGCTTTGATGGCTGCAATCTTCTCGACTGACATCGCCTCTGAGAGAGACTTGATGTTATCCACTGTTACAGATGCTTCCTTGGGGGCATCCAACCGAGCTGCAAGCTGTTCCTTAACTTTCTGTACATGAGTCTCCTCGAAACGAGGCTTCTTTGAAGAACCACTTTCAAGTCCATCTTCAGCGGCTCTCTTCACCTGAGTAGGAATCTCCAAGGGTGCAGATTTATCTATGGCGGCTGATGTAGCCGTTTCTCCATTAAGATAAGCCAGTAAATCTTTTCTGTCAGGTCTGCGCACCACAGGGATATTCTCCGCAGCTGCCTGACGTACATATACAGGATGTGTGAGCTGTACATGTTTCAGTAAAAATAGCAAGCACTCTAGGGTATAATACTCCTTCGGAGTTCCTTCCTTGCCAGATCTATAAGAAAATGAATTATGCAATTTCTTTATACTTAAATATCTAAATATTTAAGTTTAGTTGACCAGAGTCACATGTCCCATGATTGAAAAATAAATATTACAACCACGCAGGAATATCACATTGGAGAGTTGTTTCCTTCTTATTTGAGTGACCAACATATTAATAGTCAACAATATCGTGAGAGAAATGTAATCGAAAATGTTTTCATTGAAGAATATTTTCTGAACATCGATAATGGTGTATAGTGTGCTAGCAACAGTGACAACTTTCCTGCGTTTTGTTTATTATTTTCGGTGGTAGGGAGACGTCGACGCAAAAGACAGGCCAATGGTAGAGCCAAGTCAGGTTGCAGCTGTCTAGACAAGGGCTTAGTTAATTTCAAGGTAACTCACCCGTATGTCAAGTAATTGGTCTTCACATTTTTCGGCCAAGAAAACTCCCCAAAAATAATCTGATTTTCACGTTCTATAATTTCCTTCTTGTTCACGTTATATTGCCGTAGCAAGCTCAATGGGTCCGCCATGATTGCACACTCTTACTCCACCTTACGACTAGTCTGGTAAACGGAAGAATAATCAAATTGGGCATCCGTTTAAAGTACATAATACATACTAATTGTAGATGCATTCTCCCAGCTTCAATTCAAGCCTCCATAAGTTGGTCAGTTCTCATGGGAAAGCCTAATACATTAACCTAATCAATTACTTTAAAACATCGCCATTTAATTTCGTTAATCTATGGCTCAATCAATTATCCGGCTTTTTTGTGTGTTATCGAAATTATTCTAAAATGAAAAACTTTCTATATTAAAGTTCATTCTTTGTGCTTTAATTTGAGACCTCAAACGTTGCTAATTTTCCATAGGGAAGTATACAGTTTTATAATCATTACAAAACTGTTCCATTTGAGTGCCTATGAGTCACTATTTATTTTTATATTTTTTATTATGTTGTTATAATGATTTACAAAATTTTAATTAGCCTATCTTAAAGTCCAAACTTTCAGCTTTAATTTGAGTTATTGGACCTTGAAAAATATCAATGGAAAGATAGGAAATATTATTTTTTATATTAATGATTCTTCATGTGATTGTGGCGCCTCTTGTGGGAAGATCTTGAAACTTCCAAGAGGGTCAGTACAGCGCCAAAACCTGTAGTGGCAAAACGCCCAAACTGTTGGGCAACGTGACCGACGCAGGCGACTAATGTAACTGTCGCCACCTGGTATGATTTATCGGAACTCTTTGGAAGAAAGTTTGAGGATTTTGTCACAGGTGGGAGTAAATTAAAAACACAATTGGCGAGAAGTTTGAGCGTTTTGCCACTATGTGTTTTGGCGCTGTACGGAGATCGAAAGGAGCTTCCTGAACTTTACGTAAGAGGCGCTACTATCAATTGGAATAATGATTAACTAAAAATTAAATTTTAATGCTTTCCCATTGACATTTTTCAACTTTCGATAGCTCAAATTAAAACTAAAAAATTGCACTACGTAATAGAGTCATTATGGCTTGATAATAATTACGATAACATACTAAAAATTTAATGATAACAAGCAACTGTTATCGTTGACGTATTTTAATTTTTAATAGCTCAATTTAAAGCTGGAAGACTGCGCTTTATAATGGAATAATTGACGTTTGAAAATAATTAAGATTACATAGTAGAAATTTAAAAATGAGTTGGGGTTTCACTCCTCATACTCTGTGGAATTAAATGGCAGAAACGGCAACACTGTACGGATATAAATCGACACCTTGAAGTCACATCAAACGTTTCGACAGGTTTTCGCCTCTGTATGATCCAATGAAACTTCTTAAATAAAATTTACTAGATAAAATTTCATCCATGGTGTAAGAATAATTCTTCCACCGTGATTTTATCTATTTAAGTTCTTTCCAAAAACTGAATAAAATTCGAAAGATAATTTTTTGACAATATAAGAAGTAGATGAACTAGAAAAATTACGATTTCCTCTTCATTTCTTAGTAATGAATAAATGAAGTTGACCAATGACAACGTGCAAACCATCTTGGTGTCTTTGTCTTTGAAATGCTACCCCATTCCCTGCCTCCCTTTTGATCTAGCTTAGGTTCACCAGCATTGGCTGATTTGGACAATTTTTAGCCGCTAATTACTTGAAAGCAAAGATGAAATCTCGATTTCTTAATTCTTTATTTTCCTTTTACATATCCTGATGATTCATCCCTCAAGTTTTCCCCGTGTTAGAAACACTCTATATACATGTACCTAGAGGAATTGCCATTGCCAGCGACGTTTCCCTCCTTATTTTACATGGAAAATCCCATGACAAATTCGCCCGTTGCAGCCTCGGTGGCCGACAGCGTTCAACCTAACGTTTCTTTTAAAATCCCTTCGATTATAGATAAAAATTTGCTTCAAATTCTATGAACGCTGCCAACAAGTGTCACGCATGCTCGAACGCGTTTTAAATGTCAAAACCAATTGCCATTTGTCTCTCTGCGTTTCCGCATTCTGGTTGGAAAGATTATCACGGTGCATGATTCGCACGAATTCTATACGCGTCTCGTTAGGACACCGAAGTACCGATGGCCCAGCCGTGTTATAAATTAAGGACCTCACTTTTCGGGCACTCGTCCGACGTGAGAGCTGTGGCAACATTCACGGATGGAACCATTGTTTCCACGTCTCGAGACAAAACGGCCCGTGTGTGGAAACCATCTGGGTATTTAACCTGTCAAATGCAAATCTCTTTTTCATGATTCCAGGTTCGATAAAAGAAACTAAACACCGTACTTATTACAGAAACGGTAGAGATTACGTGCACGCAGCGACGTTCAAGGGACACACGAATTTCGTGAGCTCGGTGTGCGTTCTGAACCCGTCGGAAAAACATCCCACGGGCTTCATAATAACTGGCAGCAATGACAAAACGATATGCGTCTACGTGCCCGATAAAGACGAACCCTTAAACGTCCTCAAAGCCCACCAGAATTCAGTATGCAAATTGAAAGCAGGAGTCAGGGAAGGCACATTCTTATCAAGTTCCTGGGACTTAAGTGCTAAACTGTGGGATGTTGACGACTTAAGCAATCCACAGTTGAACCTGGTGGAACACACTGCAGCTGTTTGGAGTGTAGTAGATTTGTCCAATGGCTGCATCATAACTGGTTCAGCGGATAAATTAGTTATAGTATGGACAAGCGATGGCTTTGTGAAGCATAAATTGACTGGGCATACTGATTGTGTTCGAGACATCTCTGCAGTAAATGAGAATGAATTCTTAAGTTGTGGTAATGATGCCACTATACGTCACTGGAATGCTTCCCTTGGAACTCATTTAGGAACTTACGAGGCACATACTAATTACATATATAGTGTCATATGTAGAGAAAATGGTGTCAAAGTATACACATGTGCAGAGGATAGAACTATCAGAGTGTGGCACAATAATCAAATAAGTCAGACCATCACATTGCCATCCCAATCAATATGGTGTATCGACCTGCTGCCCAATGGTGACATAGTTGCTGGTAGCTCTGATGGTATTGTTAGGATATTTTCCTGTGACCCAGAAAGAATCGCGGATCCGGAAATGTTGCAGGAATTCGAGAAGGAGGTGGCTAACACAAAGCTGAATGCTCAGCAAGAGTTAGGGGGACTCAAGATTAAGGAGTAAGAACGAATTTTTGATTCCAAAAATTTTTTTGCTTTAATATGTTTAAATAATTTTTAAATAAACCGAGACTTCGTTTGCAGTTAAGATTACAGTTTGGGACAAAGTAAATTAATTCGTTTGTGCATTATCAGTTTGCCAGACGCGAAAGCGTTGCAGCAGCCCGGTCAAAGGGACGGCCAAACTAAAATAGTGAACGACGGGGAGGCGGTGAGAGCGTATAGTTGGTCCCAGAGCGAACAAAGATGGATAAGGATCGGAGACATTATGGGGGCAACCGGTGGCAGCAATGCTACGTCGGGAAAACAACTTTATAACGGAATAGAATACGACTACGTATTTTCTGTAGACATACAAGACGGGGTTCCACCGTTGAAATTGCCTTACAACAATGGTCAAGATCCATGGCACGTTGCGCAAAAATTCCTTCACGATAACGATCTCAGTCAATTATTTTTGGATCAGGTAAATATTCTTAGTATTACATACTCGTTAACTATCGGATATATTTTGTCAGGAATACTGCTTAGAGTTCCACTGTCTCATTGATTGATCTTCATTTTCAGGTTGCCAATTTTATAATAAAGAACTCCCAATCAGCGCCAGGTCTGAATACAAGTACTCAGTATGCTGACCCGTTCACGGGAGGCAATAGATATATACCTAGCTCGGCGACGAGTAGCACCGAACCTTCAAGAACGATGCTCAATTCTTCTAAGACCTCTATGACTTCCTCTTACATCCCCCATACGAAATATTTGAAGATAGAGCAGGCTAATTTACAAACAATTCTAGGTAATTATTTTTGTGTGATTAAAGATAAGAGAAGGCTGATCTCAGACTGTTTGCAGACAAGTTACGGGAACTGAACACCAAGCAAACCGAAGCCGTTAGAATACCCGACGACAAGTTAGACAACTTGGTAAAGCTCGCTAAAGACCAAACCTCCGAACACTTAAGAACCGACGCTTTAAACACCTTAAAATCACTGTTGAATTGGCCAGATGATGTGTTGTTCCCTGTCCTCGACATAACAAGACTCGCCGTGCTATCCAAAGAGATCAACGATGTTATTTGTACGGAGGAGCTTCTGCAGATCACCAAGAAACACATCAAACCCGAGGCGTCTGCCTCGAATCAGATGCTGACATTCCGATTGCTGGCGAACATGTTCACTCATGACAAGGGGGAGAAACTTTGTTTGGACAGCAAGGACGAGATTCTGGAACTTCTGTCAGGCTTGAAGTCTCTTGGTAATAAAAACAATCAGGTATACAAAATTCTATATTGAGTTAGCGTACAACTTTAAATGAAGGATGGAAAATATGGAATTAATGCGTAAAATAATTTTCAGGTTGCTGTATCGACTTACATACTGAACTTAACCGTGGCCTTGAACAAGTATAATGACGTATTCGGCAAAGCGCAGTGTTTGAACGCCATGTTTAATATTTTATCCCGGTTGAAGGAACCGGAAGCAGTGTTCAGAACTCTTGTGGGATTAGGCACGCTTTTATGTACGGCTTCTGACTCATCGGACCGCGACGACCTGATCAAGGCGGTCAGACAATCCGAGGTCACGTTAAACATATTGAAAACCATGTCTGAAACAGACGTGTCCACGGACAAGCTGGCCAATTGTTCGAAACAGATCATCGATCTGATCGTTTAAGCATAAGTTATTATAGAAAATTTCTAAAGATACGAACCATGAACACAAGACTCAACTAATTGATATCGTAAATTAACAAATGTATTCATCGACTTGTCGCGTTGAACATGTTTCTCATATTTCTTCCTTCTTTCAGTTTGACAATTGAATCCTTATAATTTCTCATTGCTAATAAAAGTACATTTTTGCCATAATCGAGACTACGTTTTTCTTTTTCACATAAAAAAAAATCGATGCTCGATAAGAGGGGCCATTGATAATTGTGCACCTAACGCATTTAATGAATAGTCAGTTACACTCGGTTCAGGTAAGATAAGTTGTATTTCTAATGAAAATTAATTAAAATATATGTACAACGATGAATATAAAATAATAATTTATGTAATATACATAATATTTGATTAAATCTTTCGAGCATCACGCCCGATAAACATACAACAGACAACAGTGTAATAGTAGAATATTGTTATTACATTAACGTCAAATATATATTTCCTTAGTTGTATATCAATTTTCGCCCTCGCAAATAGTCAAGAGTTCGTTACCGCAACTTTTTTTTAGTTAATTACATGAAAAATAACATTCACTGTGAGAGTGTGTGTACGTGTGGGTATGCGGCGTGTGCGTGTGTGTGTGTATTGTAGTGTGTCGGTGTTTGTTCGATGTGTGTACACTCATATTAACTTTTTCAATTATGCTCGATGAACAATACATATAGTACATGAAAGATAGTCGTTACAAGTATATCAGGTCAATGTGGCTCATTGTGGGAATGTGAATGCGATTAGCTTCTTCGTTTTTACAAAAATAATTTTAAATATATATCTGAGATCTGTAAGGTAAATAGAAACAGTGCTGATTCGTACAATTCAAAAATTTAGTGTTCAAATTGCTGTACAGCATTCGTTAGTTGCATCCTTTTGTCGACGTACAGGATCAAGGATCGCGGTGCAAAAACAACTCCGTGAAACTTCGAACATCCCCTTACCAGAACAGAAAAAAAAGTTGCTTCGAACGTTTTGCGGACATTCGTGAGGTTTTTAAGACAAAAGAGACAACGACGTTTTTTTACAGTTTCTACAGAAATGTCCACAAAACTTCTGAAACCCTTTTTTAATTTGGCAGGTGTGTGCAAACTTTTGTAACCGACTGTAATTGACCAAAAAAGACCCTAATTCCACCGTCAGTGGGCTGCAGACATCTTTGCACGGTTAAAAAAAAAAAAAGATAAAAAGACGCAATAAAATGTGTAGATTATTTTCTAATTACAATTCTAGGGTTACTTTTTTGTAACGAGGTCGATGTAGTCTATAAAAATGGAAATTTGCATGAACATCTGCAGTCCAATCGTTGACATTTGTTGAAACATGAGTGAAAAACATTGAGGACGATTGTATTTGTGCACGACGACCCCGATTTTCGTTTTGGAAGTAGAAGAAATTCGGAATGCCCTATAGAAATGCACTGATCCGCATAAGATGTACTCCTTAAATTTATTTAACCGAGATGTTCGCTCGAGAAAACACGTGCACACCACTCTGCAAATTGTTGCTAGAGCGGTGTGCACCGAGAGAAATACCCTTTTCTCAAGATAAGTCACTTTTGTGTATTGAAAAACTATGTCAAAAATTACGCTTGAGTTTCAAATTACTTTACATATGTGTACATATATATATATTTACTTTATCAACTAACTGTTGAGTACGAGACATTCTTCAAATTNCGGACAAGCTGGCCAATTGTTCGAAACAGATCATCGATCTGATCGTTTAAGCATAAGTTATTATAGAAAATTTCTAAAGATACGAACCATGAACACAAGACTCAACTAATTGATATCGTAAATTAACAAATGTATTCATCGACTTGTCGCGTTGAACATGTTTCTCATATTTCTTCCTTCTTTCAGTTTGACAATTGAATCCTTATAATTTCTCATTGCTAATAAAAGTACATTTTTGCCATAATCGAGACTACGTTTTTCTTTTTCACATAAAAAAAAATCGATGCTCGATAAGAGGGGCCATTGATAATTGTGCACCTAACGCATTTAATGAATAGTCAGTTACACTCGGTTCAGGTAAGATAAGTTGTATTTCTAATGAAAATTAATTAAAATATATGTACAACGATGAATATAAAATAATAATTTATGTAATATACATAATATTTGATTAAATCTTTCGAGCATCACGCCCGATAAACATACAACAGACAACAGTGTAATAGTAGAATATTGTTATTACATTAACGTCAAATATATATTTCCTTAGTTGTATATCAATTTTCGCCCTCGCAAATAGTCAAGAGTTCGTTACCGCAACTTTTTTTTAGTTAATTACATGAAAAATAACATTCACTGTGAGAGTGTGTGTACGTGTGGGTATGCGGCGTGTGCGTGTGTGTGTGTATTGTAGTGTGTCGGTGTTTGTTCGATGTGTGTACACTCATATTAACTTTTTCAATTATGCTCGATGAACAATACATATAGTACATGAAAGATAGTCGTTACAAGTATATCAGGTCAATGTGGCTCATTGTGGGAATGTGAATGCGATTAGCTTCTTCGTTTTTACAAAAATAATTTTAAATATATATCTGAGATCTGTAAGGTAAATAGAAACAGTGCTGATTCGTACAATTCAAAAATTTAGTGTTCAAATTGCTGTACAGCATTCGTTAGTTGCATCCTTTTGTCGACGTACAGGATCAAGGATCGCGGTGCAAAAACAACTCCGTGAAACTTCGAACATCCCCTTACCAGAACAGAAAAAAAAGTTGCTTCGAACGTTTTGCGGACATTCGTGAGGTTTTTAAGACAAAAGAGACAACGACGTTTTTTTACAGTTTCTACAGAAATGTCCACAAAACTTCTGAAACCCTTTTTTAATTTGGCAGGTGTGTGCAAACTTTTGTAACCGACTGTAATTGACCAAAAAAGACCCTAATTCCACCGTCAGTGGGCTGCAGACATCTTTGCACGGTTAAAAAAAAAAAAAGATAAAAAGACGCAATAAAATGTGTAGATTATTTTCTAATTACAATTCTAGGGTTACTTTTTTGTAACGAGGTCGATGTAGTCTATAAAAATGGAAATTTGCATGAACATCTGCAGTCCAATCGTTGACATTTGTTGAAACATGAGTGAAAAACATTGAGGACGATTGTATTTGTGCACGACGACCCCGATTTTCGTTTTGGAAGTAGAAGAAATTCGGAATGCCCTATAGAAATGCACTGATCCGCATAAGATGTACTCCTTAAATTTATTTAACCGAGATGTTCGCTCGAGAAAACACGTGCACACCACTCTGCAAATTGTTGCTAGAGCGGTGTGCACCGAGAGAAATACCCTTTTCTCAAGATAAGTCACTTTTGTGTATTGAAAAACTATGTCAAAAATTACGCTTGAGTTTCAAATTACTTTACATATGTGTACATATATATATATTTACTTTATCAACTAACTGTTGAGTACGAGACATTCTTCAAATTTTTGTACCTCCGATAACTTAAAAATTAGTGTGTCAAGCAGTGATCTCTCTCTCTCTCTCTTTCTTTCTTTCTCTCTCTCTCTCTTTCTCTCATTTTTTTTTAAAACGTTTTCATTTTCCATAGTTTCTACATGTGATTGCCTGGGTTCGACGATTCATAGAAATTACTTGTTTTCTTTTCTGTCTCAATTGAATCCTGTTCACAGTAAGCATCGTCTGTGATTAAACAAACACAGCCTCGTTAATTGAAGGGTTCAGGGAGTAAGTATTAAAAATATAGATTTCGTCTTTCGAGGAGTATAGTGTACGTATAAAAGTGTATTTTCACTAGAAATGTATGGGGGAGGAGGAGGGGGGCTGCCGGCTGAAAAAGGGGGGACCAACGTAGCGCTGACCAACGAACTCAACACGTCTCGGACGCTATTACGACCTGCACAGAAAATCTCGGACTTGGAAGCATAATCTCATAACGTACAATCACAACAGCGCGCCTAAGAATCGGCGCGGCTTTCAATTATAAAATACTTTCAGTGATCAACGCTATCCGCGACCAACTTAGACAAAGAAATAGTCACAGAGAACGCTATTTCTCTCTCTTCCTAAGCTATAACACGACCCTGCGTCGCATCAACCCTTTGAGGACATTCTCCAAACGTTTTCATACATCAAACTCACGACCTCTTAGCTGACTAAAAATGTGTAGCTAGCTCAGCCATTTTGTAAGAGAAAGGAAAAAGAAAGATAGCTTCTAATAGCTAAAATTTTCCTCAGGGGACCGGATTAGAGTCTCGAATACTGTTAGAAAGGAAGAGCGTGAACAGACTCGTCCTCAAAGGGTTAGAAAGTGGAAACATCGTACAGCTTTGGAACAGAAAAAGCCCAGTGGCCACTCCCGCAAGCGACAAGAGGAGAATGGCTCGCGAGAAAGTATTTCTGGTAGAAAAATAGCGGAAAGGCTGAGCCGTTTAACAACCACGGTCGTGTCTACATTGTATGTGTATCTCGACACCGCCTGTCGTCGTCGATACCGCGACGCAGAATGTAAATTTCGTTTCCCGTACCCTTCAATTAGGGCTCTTCTTCTACTATGGCATGGGGCGCACTAGGAGGGACCTAAAATTTGTATTGGGTCCCCCCTGGCCCGTCTCATTCGGCCGGCGTGCTCGCCGCCCACCTATCGAATTCTATACCTGAATCGGGACTGAGGCCCAAATCGATCGGGCTGAGGAAACTCGGCGCCGGACAGTTGCACGGGCCCCCCGGTCTGCAGGCGCCGATGCACCGCTGCTCGTTGCCCCTGTTACGGTCCCCCCTGTCCCTCAGCTCCTTCTCGAAGCTGTGCAGTTGCTCCATAAAATGGAAATTCGGCGCAACGTTCGACTTCCGACTACGAACTAAGTTGAAAGCGTCGTTCAGACTGAGGCTGCACTTGTGCATCAGGTAGGCTACGGTGATCGTCACGGACCGCGAGACCCCCGCTAAACAGTGCACTAACACGCCCTTGTCCGAGCTTCGTGCCTCCTCTGAAAGCAAGGTAATTCCATTTTTCATTTATTTATCAAACATTCGGGGAGTTTAGTCCCGCTTAAGATTGTAGGGGATGCTTGTACCACCTTCGATACCGATGACAGTCCAAAACAAGATGACCTCGTGCGGACTTACCGATGAATTGAATTGCTTGTGGAAAGAAACTAGCTAAGTTCTGGCTCCAATGATCGCTTATGGGTATTTGCATGTATTTTATCGAACCAGCGCTTTCAAATACATTTGGCAAATCTGGGGTTACGTTGAGAATGTATTGTATCCTGTGACGTGCTAACGCGTCCCTATCCTCGCTGTTGGCTGCATTCCCAAGATACAAATGAGGCAAAATTTCAACTGGAAAGTCTTTATCCTCCTCGGGTCCTGCGGAAAACAACGGTTTCGTTAGTTCTTTCTGTGTAGTTCGTAAGAAACTTGTTTCAACAGTTTGTAAATTATCATACTAACCAACAGAATCACACGTGCTATCACTATCAGAATCTGAGTAAGACCTTGTTGGTGGAGTGGATATTCGAAGGGATCTAAGACCCATCAATTCACCGTCATTGGAGTCTTGACCTGGAGGACATTCCCCTCCAACTTGACTAACTTCACACCATTCAGGATATTTATCTCTGAATGCACTAAAACCACCTGTGAAAAGAAGATGAATAGTATTTCTTAATGAATAGCCTTAGTTCAGGAGTGCTTAGTAAACTATAGCAGGGATATAAGTGCTTCATTGAATAGGTATACCCTTAACACAAATCAATATTTCATTCACAACTACTTTGGACATCTGAATCGATGACTACAAAGAAGAACCACAACTAGTGCTGTATATTTCATTCTGTCCTTACCAATTAAAATAGCTACACATCCTCCACTGCTTCTGAGTCTCCGACTCAAGACCTGGATAGTTTCACCCTGATGTCCTGCAGGGTCTGTAGAGTCACCGATTAACACGAATGTTCCTCTATTGTTTTCGTCTCCACACAGAAACACTTCAACCCTATTTCTTAGATCTAAGCACCGTATCGTTGACAGTAGGTCAACTTTGCCCGCTGCTAGCCGTCTCAGCATGATACTAGGTATAGCTAAAGGAACCGAACCTCTTATATGGGTCTCAGAGAAATCGGAATGCGCCCTGCAATCGAGGATGAGGAGCTTGTCAGGGCCTTCCTGAGACCTGAGCTCCCTGAAGAGCCACTCCGGGCCCACGAGATCCTCCTCCATAACACTTCCTCCCGGCATGTTGCGGGCTTTAATTCAAATTCCTGATGCTTCTTTGGTCTTCAATTCATTTGAAACACGCCTGCCCCTCTTATATCCTCACAGAGGAAATCCCCTGGTCCCTGTGACCTCTCTGTCTCCCATCGTACTCCAAAAAGGCTGTGCTCAGGCTTCGCAGTGTTCCAAAGGTCTCCAACTCCCTATGGCACTTTCCAGCAGCATGTTACCGTGTGCTGCTACGAGACGGTCAGGGTGCAGGCGCATGATTCTGCTCCATGGACCGTAGACAGGCGTACGGTGCTGGGCCAGGAGAGTCATCCGTGTGATGGGCATTCATCGAATGCAATGAAATGGCACTTGAAATTGCGTGACAGAGCATGTGCGTCCGAGACGTGGTCCCGGGCTTGCGTCCACGTTCCACGGCGTCGTTCTCACGTGTTGACCATCACTTCCTGCGGCAGTCGGTCGGCCGCCGCTCTACTCCACCATCTCCACCACCTCCTCCACCGTCGTCGCCCTCCTCTCCTTCCCCGCGGCAAACAGCAGCAGCGGCAGCAGCTCGTCTCGATTATTGATCCTTTCGTAAATAAAGACGACAGGCCCAATTAACGCTAGAGCCGCGGACTGTGTCCCGTTCGGTAAACGCATGATCCACGCCGCCGAGCCTCGATCCGATTTATCCCGAGCGGGGCTCCCGGGAACCTCGCGTCTCTCCGCTCCTCGGGATCCTCGGTGGCATTCTGCGTGTGTCCTGGCTGCTGCTGGGGCTCTGGCTGCTCCGAAACTCGCAAACGCGTCGAACCGTCGGGGCAGGCGGCGAAGCGGGACGTTCCTCCGCGACCTCTCCCGATAAAGGGATGCTGCTGGGGCTCCGACGCTGGACCGAAGCGAACACAAGGTACTCGGCCCGAGAGCAGACCGTCGCCCTCACCTCACGAATCCCTCCAGCATCGCTCGACGCGTCTTCCGTCGGCCGCCGTACCGACTTCCTGTTCTTTTTCTCCCTTTTTTCCGCTCTCCTCGCCGTGGCTCTCTCGTCTCTCCTCTTTTTCCTCCGTCTCTCCTTCTGTCCCTCTCTATCTTCGCGCACCACCGACGACGACGGATTGTGTCTCTCTGGCCTCCTCCCGTCTTTCTCTAGCCCGTGCCACGACCCTGTCCCGCTGTCTCGCTCGCGCTCCTACGGATCCTCTCGCGACCAGCCCGCCGCAGGCCACACCTTAACTCGACCGTTCTCCCGTACAGAATGGGCAAATGGCGGTCGGGTTGCCGAGCGTAGGGGCGCCCGGACCCGCCGCCGATTGGCGCTGGGTCACGTGGTGTCGCGGCGCCGACCAATCCGCGGCCAGACTGACGTCAGTTCATTGACAAAAGATGTTTTCATTAACAAGGCGTGGGTAGATGGGTCGGGGGGTCGGCGCTGACCGAGTCGTTCGACGAAACGGGGCGAGAGGGTACAGGCGACGCCAAGGGGGACGTCGACGGGCAGAAGGGGGGAGGAGCGACCGTACACTACACGCTCACCGTCTCACGCGTGCGTGGGCGCATATTATTACGAGCCACGCGAGAAAGACAGCGCGCAGCCCCGTCGCCGTCGTCCTCGTCCTCATCGTTGTTGTCGTTTCGTCGTTCCTCGTCTCTACGAGAGTCTACGCCGCGTATCGACGTGCACGCACACTCGCCTGCACGTGCTTCTGCCTCACAGGCGCGGCGCGACCAAGCCCGACGCCCCCTGCAACCCGACCACCACGGATGTCTTCGAACCGTGTCTTTGACCGACCTCCTATTTACAATAACGCCCACCGCACACCGGCTTTCGAAACCGTACCCATCACCCACCCCCCTCCCCCCCTACCTCGATCTATGAACATGAAAACATGAATGAAACTGTGTGAATTGAACCACCTGGGCACCAACCGAGACCCGCTACCTGGCCCGTTCTACGCGAATCCTCGATTGATTACGCACCGGACTTTCATATCGCTGATTTCTATCTGGGATGTCCGTCGCTGGAGGGTCTGCACCTACGGGAGCAGTACATTTCATGCACACTTTCTTTCAGCCAGCGTTAAAGCCAATCGACCACTGCTAGATTCTGGGAGACTGAGAAATGTTGCCGATTAGTATCAAAAAAATTGGAAGCTAGAGCGGTCGAGTCAGCTGTGTGCAGAGGGTTGCAGATGCTTTGCAAGGCCGGACGGTACCGTTCAATAAATGAAGCCTAGACCAGAAATAGGGCGGTTCTCAGACAATTTCGAGGTTTTTGGCTTGAAACAAATGCATTGCACAGTCGAGACGATGGTAGACACCTGTGCAAAATATCAAGGCAAAAGAGTCGTACGACACGTTGGGAAAAATTGCACGAGCACGGCGGACGAGAGGCTTTGGATGAGAATGGCCCCTTGAATGTACGTCCCTGACGCCTCCGGCGTGGTGTGTACGTGAAGCCTCACCTCGGATCGAACAGCCTATCAGACGGCTCTCAGGCGTGGGCTGGCATTCCATTCATTTGGGCTGCTGTCGTTGAAGATTTTCGCGTTCGATCACGCGAACAGCGCAGGGCCGCCTGATCGCGCGACCCCTAGGACCGTCGCTCGGGGCGGAGGACAGGGTTAGAGAAGGACGCGCCGAGGAGAAGAGAAGACGAAAAGGGCTGTGTGCCGGTGTCGGTGGCCTTCGCCGTGCCGCATCGAGCCCGTTCGTGCAACCAGATGAATTTCGATTCGATCGCGTGGGAGAGCCGCGTGATAAGGCGACCCGCGCGCTGTTACGGTTCCTATCTCAGTTGCATCTTTCTGGCCCGAAAGAATTTCTCCCGTTTCGCCAATTCCACCGGAATACACCGGGAAGGGCCCCAAAAGAATCGGTCGCGCGGTCTCCGAATGAAAAATCCGAGACGACCGTCTGATTTTCAGGCGCATCGCGTCAGACTCCCACCTTCGGCGTCGCGCGATCAATGGCCGTCTCTACACTTTACGTAAGGTCGCCCCCGTCCCCTCTGTTTTGTCAATGTCTTAACCATCGGCGAGCGACGACAGTGTCGCGGATCGTGACTCACGCGGTCACGTCGCCGTTCGTTCTCTCATTGACCAGAGAAAATATCGGATTCGTCTACCGTTTACATAAACGCCTGGAACGCGTAGCTGCGACTACTCTTCTGAATGGAGACACGTGTTCCCGCATGAATTCGCTCCCTGAGAGTCTTCTACGCTTCCGACCGCGCGGTCTCTCGGATGCAGACGCAGCCGCTACTTTCTTGAATGGAGGTTACGTGAATCGGTCTCTACCTGCAACGGCGACACGGCGATCGGAAGACTCGCGTTGTATCGACACTAGGCGATAAGATTGCCGCTGTTTATGCATCCGCGGAACGCGATAACGCGAACGATAACATTCCTTACAACCGACAGTTCTGATTCGAAGCGAACCTTCGAGATTTCGTAGGGACGAACGTGTCGTAGAAGGAAATAAAGCACCGTGAATTCTCTCTAATTCGCGCTCGGATTGTGCACGAAAGTGGACAATTTGGGGTGAGGAGATACGGATTGGTCGAGACCTGCGGCTCGTTTTTATAGTTACCGATTGTCCACAACTACAAAAACGAGACGCCAGGACGCTCGAACAATCGTATCTCATCTCCCGAAATTGTCCATTTTTGTGCGCAATCTGAGCGCGAATCAGGGAAAAATTACTGTAATATAGAAACTAGAAGTGCTGGTCCGTCATTTTGAAATTGACACAGCAGAGAGATTGCTGCAGTCAACGCAAATGCAACACGGTTTATCCCAATAATAAATAGTTTTCAATGAATTTCTTTTCTCGAGATTGAATTCTGTAGACAGCGAGATGTTCGAGAGCAACGGCAACTCGAAAATGGCGAAGCGAGAGTAGTACGGACGACGACGCGACGATACAAAGTCGATGGAATGCGACACAACGGAGGAAACGAGGCATTACGATTCAGGAAAATGCTCGTGCATGAAATTTGTATGATCGGTCGACTGCGGCGTGTCAGTTGCATCGATCGGACACCGGCCGTCCGTGAGAAAACCGCTGTGCAGTATGCAGCCCGGCTTGATGCGCACGCTATAGAATCGTGATTGAGTAACGCGCACGGCGACTTCCGACTGCATCACGAAATACGTAATGTCAGTGTTATTAAGTATGCGCACCTGTTAAGGTCATCAACAGGTATCACTTACGTCATCTTTAGCGTACGCATTGGCGGTAGTGTGACCGTCATAAAAATCGACGCCTCGGGCGTGCACAACCAGCTCCGCGGACTTTGATACTCTCGGATCACTATACCTCTGATAAATCGCAAGCCGACAATAAGCGTTCGTATCCTGATCGTGATAGGCCAGGCTGATATCAAAATACTTTAAGCATTACGGTTTTTCGAAAATTCTCGATATTCGAACTGTCGTCATCTCGTGAAAAAAAATCGTATGACGATGGAGCCAACCTTTTTGTAAAGCTTAAAGTTTTATTTTCCGGAGAACATAGCCATTTCTTAAAAAAAACGATTTTTTCACGGTATTGCAGAGAGTAAACTGAAGACCTCTTTTCGGACGNCTGCAACGGCGACACGGCGATCGGAAGACTCGCGTTGTATCGACACTAGGCGATAAGATTGCCGCTGTTTATGCATCCGCGGAACGCGATAACGCGAACGATAACATTCCTTACAACCGACAGTTCTGATTCGAAGCGAACCTTCGAGATTTCGTAGGGACGAACGTGTCGTAGAAGGAAATAAAGCACCGTGAATTCTCTCTAATTCGCGCTCGGATTGTGCACGAAAGTGGACAATTTGGGGTGAGGAGATACGGATTGGTCGAGACCTGCGGCTCGTTTTTATAGTTACCGATTGTCCACAACTACAAAAACGAGACGCCAGGACGCTCGAACAATCGTATCTCATCTCCCGAAATTGTCCATTTTTGTGCGCAATCTGAGCGCGAATCAGGGAAAAATTACTGTAATATAGAAACTAGAAGTGCTGGTCCGTCATTTTGAAATTGACACAGCAGAGAGATTGCTGCAGTCAACGCAAATGCAACACGGTTTATCCCAATAATAAATAGTTTTCAATGAATTTCTTTTCTCGAGATTGAATTCTGTAGACAGCGAGATGTTCGAGAGCAACGGCAACTCGAAAATGGCGAAGCGAGAGTAGTACGGACGACGACGCGACGATACAAAGTCGATGGAATGCGACACAACGGAGGAAACGAGGCATTACGATTCAGGAAAATGCTCGTGCATGAAATTTGTATGATCGGTCGACTGCGGCGTGTCAGTTGCATCGATCGGACACCGGCCGTCCGTGAGAAAACCGCTGTGCAGTATGCAGCCCGGCTTGATGCGCACGCTATAGAATCGTGATTGAGTAACGCGCACGGCGACTTCCGACTGCATCACGAAATACGTAATGTCAGTGTTATTAAGTATGCGCACCTGTTAAGGTCATCAACAGGTATCACTTACGTCATCTTTAGCGTACGCATTGGCGGTAGTGTGACCGTCATAAAAATCGACGCCTCGGGCGTGCACAACCAGCTCCGCGGACTTTGATACTCTCGGATCACTATACCTCTGATAAATCGCAAGCCGACAATAAGCGTTCGTATCCTGATCGTGATAGGCCAGGCTGATATCAAAATACTTTAAGCATTACGGTTTTTCGAAAATTCTCGATATTCGAACTGTCGTCATCTCGTGAAAAAAAATCGTATGACGATGGAGCCAACCTTTTTGTAAAGCTTAAAGTTTTATTTTCCGGAGAACATAGCCATTTCTTAAAAAAAACGATTTTTTCACGGTATTGCAGAGAGTAAACTGAAGACCTCTTTTCGGACGAAAATGTCACAAATTGAAGCTTTCGTAAAATCACTCTAAAATTTTTTTCTGGGATGAAACTAGTGCGAATTTAAAGCTTGAACTTTCCCCTCTAAAATGACGTATCAAAATTTGTTCTACGATTTTTTGTCGCTGTTTCACGGACCAAAAACCGGAGGCATGTTCGGACGTATAATATCTCATGTTACATTTGACGTAACTGCATATTTGGTGACACACTCTTCGTTCAAAGTACTGTGAAACGGTAAAAAAAATCGTAGATCAAATTTTTTGGACTCGTTCTAAAGCTAAAACTTCAAACTTTAATTCTACATAGGTTTTAGTGACAAAACAAATTTCTCGGACTCTGTGAACGTGTTTGAATTTACAAATTTGTCAAAAACAACTATCTC